GTGAGTGATGTACGTTTTCTGTAAGCAGATAGACCACATACGAATTAGCATCTAATCCCAGTCGTCCATAGCTCGCAAGCATGGGTAATGCCATACTCAAACAAACCACATAAACACAAACCACTGACCCAGCTGCTATCTAGTATACGAGCCCTCAGCCTTGAAATTCTCATGGCTTTGTGCTGTGACATCGAGGCTGGTGCCGTCAACTTCCTCGACAGTGACGGCCAGGTGTGCGTGGCGCAGATGGTGCCAGAGCTGATGCTAATGTGTGAATTGACATTGATGCTATCTGAGACTCGGTCATGGCCGGGCATGATACTCAGGTAGGGTTCGCAGGTGAGCTACCATGTGTAGATGTTCTGGTCCGCACCATTCTTTGTGTGCTTGCACAGAAAGTTGGCTTTCTTTGGCCCATTGGTTGTACTTCAGTGCTACTTCATTCGCAGTGCGTTTGATGATGCATCCCCCGCTTCAAACACTCACGAAGTTTGTGACTGCGCAGGAGTGTTGTTCAGCGCCGAAACGGGGAAGCAGCCGGTAAGTAATTTTGGAGCAGTCCCAGCCGAGATCCATCAGCAAGAAAAAGCAGACCTCGTCGTCGTAGGAGCAGGGGATGTAGTAGGAGTATTAAACACAAGGGTTAGGAGTGGGGGCAGGAGTGGGAGTCGGAGCGGGCTTTGGTGTAGGAGTATGCTGTGAGTAGGAGTAGGAAACAAGTAGTAGTAGCAGTAGTAGTCGTAGTAGCAGTAGCAGTAGCAGTAGCAGTAGCAGTAGCAGTAGCAGTAGTAGTAGTAGTAGTAGTAGTAGTAGTAGTAGTAGTAGTAGTAGTAGTAGTAGTCGTAGTAGTAGTAGTAGTAGTAGTAGTACTGCAGCTACTTTTCTTCTGCTACTACTACTACTACTGCTACTGCTACTGCTACTGCTACTGCTACGACTACTACTACTACTACTACTACTACTACTACTGCTACTACTACTACTACGACTACTACTACAACAACAACTACTACTACAACAACTACTACTACTACTACTACTACTGCTGCTGCTACTACTACTACTACTACGACTACTACTACTACTACAACAACTACTTCTACTACTACAACTACAACAACTACTACTACTACTACTACTACTACTACTACTACTACTACTCCTACTCCTATTCCTGCTGCAACTACTACTACTACTACTACTACTACTACTACTACTACTACTACTACTACTACTACTACTGCGGAGGGGACTTGAGCCAGACTTCCAGCAAAGGCCAACATCCTCCTGGGTAGCAATGAGCCCGACATTCGGGGAAGCTGCATGGGAAATATGCCGCTCGCTCAACAACTGGAGTGTGATCTCATGTCTAGCCTATGCTATACATGATTATAGTGTGTGTGTGTGTATGGACGCCGTCGATTCAACATTTCTTGTATACTATGCTGCATATAAAGGACCTTCTCCAATTTGTGTTACGATATCTATCCATACACAGGCCTGGCGAGGTCTACGCGCCCTTCTGGACAGCAAGCTGTACCCAAAGCAGCATGTCAGTTCCCCAAACACCACCAGCCACCAGCCCTAAACCCCAAGAGCCGAAGTCCTCTACCCCAAAGCGTGTTGAGGGCCTCTTTAACACCGAAGATTAGAAAAGGCGGAAACCCAAGCTTGCCGCGACCCCTGAAACCCGGAAACTTTGACCTAAACTTTCTGCGGAAGGGCTGTCGAGAGTGTCCGGACATGAGCGACCCCGACTACAGACTTGAAGTAGCATCATTCGAATAACTATGGCCACGATAGCATGGAGCCCTTCTTCTGGTAGTCCTGAACGGAGCCCCTTTTTCGAGGAACCCTGTTCTAATGTATTATGGGCTCCATACTACCTCTAATCTTTAGAAGACCTTCTTTTAGGGCACTGGGGGATAGAGGCCTGAAGCTTCAGGGTTTAAAGGTTGGGGTGTACACCCCAAACCCTGAACCGTGGAATTGGAACAAAGCTTTCGGATGCAGTGTGCTGCACCAGCCAGAGGAAGAAGTAGACACTCGACCCGTTTGAGATCTAGCGCAGCCCAGGGAGAAGACCTTAACATCATAGATAGCCGGCAACTTCCCTAAACCCTAAACTGTTAGGGCCCAGGGTTTGGGAATTAGTCTGGCTATGGCTGGCCTTGGAGATCCCAAGATGAAGGTAAGCGCATCCATGGCCCCCGCCCAAAGCCAAGCCCGTGAGAGGTTTGGAAAGTGCGTCTCCCCCTGTGACGACGCATCAGTAGCGTCTGGAGATTGTGCTTTGGTGGCACTGTTCGACGTGATAGTTTTGGCATGCCGGATTCGCAACTGTAAGGCATCTTGTGCACAAGAAACCTAAGTCGAACAGAACTTGGATGTTTAGCATCTCACGAAAAGATCATGAGTTTTGTGTGGTCTAGGAGTTAGCACATTGCTCTTAATCCTCGGATGTCCTTCGTCGGCGATCAAGGCACCCACAGTCTAAATCGTGCAAGATTCGGCTCATGGGCGCAGCAGTTTGACAAAGCCGACGTCAGGGTCCTGCGAGACTCAATGCTTGAACTTCAACCGGTGCTTGCTTCGATAAGAATTTCAAAGTCGAATGTACTGCGGATCACCCCATGTGCTTGCCCTGCAAGCGTCTACGCTTTTTGAAATTTAGCTCGCATCGATTGTCTACCGTTGAGGCCAATGCTCGCAAACCCAGTAACTCTGAGTCCTGGTCCCACAGGCCCACACTTCTTAGCATGAACACATGAGGCCCGGCGGCCAAGCTTTGGCCGGTGTGCCTGGGCATGCAAAGTAGTAGTAGTAGTAGTAGTAGTAGTAGTAGTAGTAGTAGTAGTAGTAGTAGCAGTAGGGGGAGGGAGGGAGTGAGGAGGAGCCTGGGGAGAGGACGGGGGAGGCAGGGGAGGAGCAGGGGAGGAAAGGAGGACGGAAGAAAAGGATGAAGGGAGGGAGAGGCATGACGGACGGAGGGAGCCACTTGTATTAGTAACTCGTACTACTAGTAGTAGTATTCCTGTCAATAGTAGCAGCGTAGCAGCAGTAGTAGTAGTGGTAGCAGTAGCAGTAGCAGTAGCAGCAGGAAGCAGTAGCGGTAGCGGTAGCGGTAGTAGCAGCAGTTGTAGCGGCAGCAGCAGCAGCAGCAGTAGCAGTAGCAGTAGCAGCACTAGTCGTGGTAGTAGTGGTAGTCCTGGGTTTCGGGGCTACTCTCTTCTAGAGAGGATCGAGGATTTTGGGCTTTGGGTTTAGCTAGAGGGAATGTGGCTTTTTTTCTACAGGGGTTAGGGCTCTTCTGCTGGATTTCATTTTCTCCTTCTGCGACCGGAAGAAATCTGCAGGGCTTTAACCAACCCCCCCCCCCCCCCCCCCGCGCCCTTCTAAAGCAAAATCTACACCGAAAGCCTTGCAACATTATGCCGCAGGGATCCTCCTGGGACGCCCAATGCCAAGGCTGCAAGACCAGATGTTCGCTGTCCGGTTAAGAAAGGGACCGTACAAATTCGAACAGGGTATCGGGGGGATATTTTACAACGGATAGAACAGTTAAGGATCATATCGGGATGGTGTTGCCAATAGTTAAATCGCTATTCCAACCCCGTTTGGGGGTTTGGAGTTTAGGGTTTTGGTGTCTAGGTACAAGGCAGTCGGCAGGATTGGGCCTTGGATGTAGGTCCCGCTTTCCAGTAGACTTAAGATGCCCCCATCACCTTGAACCCAACACCCTGAAGCCTAAAAAAAGAGGTTCTACCTTGTCCAGCATGCTGTTGGAGACTCCGAGTTTGGACCACTGGGGCTTTGGACCCTAGCTCCGTCAATCTTGTCGAGCTTGCCCATCGATCGAACCTTGTCGCATCTTGTCGAGATCCGGTTTCCCTGGAACACTTGCAGACATAATATAGGGGCCTAAACAACTCCTATACTATTTTGGGGGGCTCCTTATTATACTTACAACTTATAGTATAGTATACCGTCAAAACCCCATTCTAATTATTGAGGCCCCTATGTAACTCCTTCGCGGCATCAACTCCAGCGCTGTCAGGGCCAGTGCAACTGTTGGCAGTTCTCGCATGCCACAGGCCTGTGATATGCTTGGAGGTTGAACATTTGGGCTTTGATGGGCCTGAACCGTGATATTCGGGATTCTGCTGCCTCACGATTGGATGCATCATAGCTCGCTTTGGTTTCTTTTTGCTGCTTCGGATAGTAACGGATAGTACGCCGTCCGATTCCGCTACTCCGAAGTGTCAAAGCCTCTGCAGGATGTGTGTTCGAGAGCCCATCGTGCATCCACTCTTCTGCTGAAAGGTTGAACGAGAACATCTGGGAGTTTCCGAAATTGGGTGTACCTCATGTTGGGGTCCTTATGGCAAGGATCGTGCTATTTAGGGTGCTATATTAGGATCCCGGATCCCTTATTTTCGGAAACTCCCATATAGAGATGTGGTGGAATCAAGACTGTAAGTCGATTGCTAGCCTCGTCACTGGACTGCAGTGCATAGAGTGTTTTGCCGCTTATCTTGGCGACAGTATCAGCAGTGAAAGTATCGTGTTCGTGTGAGTTCAGGGTCTTTTCATCTTCCTCCAACCATCATTACAATAATTTCTGGGTTTTGTGCGATGCTGAGAGTGAACAGTGGTATACAGTGGTAGTCGTATACGTAAGTGGTGTTCAACCCGAAGTTCGCTCGCATGTCTACAACCCTGACTACCGTTTTGAGCACCATCTCCATCTTTATCATGAGCATTGTCATCAGCCATCTTATCATCAACACCCTTGTGTTCTTAGCAGTGCTAGTAGTTTTCGGAATTTGCATGACTCGGGGGTCCTTCTAGGGGTCCTTATCCGGATCCCTCTATTTGAACCCTAATGCTAAGCCAAGCCCCTCGACACTTACACAAGTCAACCGGTCCCTGGGTGTCTGACTGGTGCCTCAGGGGTTGGATTCTGGCAGCTCGCCGGATGTAGCGGACTGCAGCCGCTGATGAGCGTCTGGGAGGAGAGAGGGCTGCCTCGGTACATAGGCAGATTGAACCCCAAAAAAAGAAGACTCATCTTAAAGCCCTGGGGTTCTGGTCACCTGATTGAGTAGTATGTTGCTGGGTTAGCATAAGCGGCCTACCTTTATTTATGGATGTGGAGCCCTGGGGCCAGTAATTTAAGTAGCAAAATTGGTTCGATGTCCACAGTCTCGGCACTTGGAAGGACAAAGCAAGCGACCACACATGCACATATTAACAGACCGAGACGTTGAGTAAGCACTCAAACCGATAAATGTTGGTAAACAAACCAGTATGATTCTAATTTTACGGAAAGTTTCAATGTTGCTGACCGACAGTCTTAAGCTGTATAAGCAATTACCAGGCAACACATACATAGAGTACATACCTGCATAGAAGCCACATGGAGAGGTGACATAAATTGCGGCGGTAATACATGCAATAGTTGCAACAATAAGGAAATGATAAGAACAGTAACAGCTACATCATCAGTACTGCTACTATTTGTGAAAATAGTAAGAATACACGATAACCTGGTAATGGGACTTCTAAGGATCGTGGTCATGAAAATAGCGGCCATAATGAACACGCGAGAAATGAAAATCGATGTTTTCACAATGGTAACAGTAGTAATCAACATGACAGTAACTATCATGCAGATGATGGTTATTATTGTCATTCTTGTCCTATTTGTTTATTATCTGGGCTCCAGGTTGCCTGTAAGGCTTAGGGACAGCTTAAGACGAATGAAGGCCGGTCGTTCGAGACCCTGCGTGAGAGGATCCCACTTGCACTGACACCGTGATGGGCTACTGGAAGGGGACGGCCTCACTGGCAGTTGCGAAGGCCGGACTAAAAGAGAGAGTACCCTCTCGCAAGAGTCGAAGGTCCTCGCCGGACGTTTTCCGAGGTTGTGCAGGGCTTAGCTTCATTCCTGGGAGGCTTCCGTGTTTGAAGCCGCACCAGGATTCTTTCTTGATTAGCTGTAAGTGTTCGGAACGTAGGCTGAAGGTTGGGGGTCTACGTTATCGCCTCTAGTCGGAAGAGCACGGTGCATCGTTTCAGACGGAGCTCTTGATTTTGTTGCGGATTTGAGAGTCATGCGTGCAAGGGATGTCACGGAATAGGCAGCACCCAAAGTCCCGCGGCGACTCAAAGCGGAAGTGCTGGCCTACAAGCCGAAACGCCCCTAAAACCAACCCTATCCAAAGCTGAGTGCCTGTGCAGGGCTACAAGTATCTGTCGACACCTCTTGTGGCGGAACATGTGGACTATGCGGCTCGAGCTTAATCGAGGTTGTAGGATGGAGGTTCGTCGTGTAGTTTTTGCGGTTGATGGCTTATCCTTACGATTGAAGAGTTTCCATTTGTTGATGTTCTGTCTCAGCCGTACATCCAAAGGGTCAGTGTGTAAAGTGCTTGGCAGGGCCCTTGTACTACACTGCCTGAACGAGCAGCCTTTGACAACTCATTTCTCGCACAGGCCTGGTAAAGCCCATTATTCCTCCAAACCCAAGCCCCTAAACCCTAAACCGCTCAACCAAAAACCTCTAACCCCTGAACCCCAAACTATACGTATCAGTCCATCAGCCTTCTCCCGAAGACTGAACCTATCTGCTCCCTGCATCACCTGCAGTACAAGGGCCTTTAAACATAGAGTAGGGTTCCTGTGAGGCTTCTACAAGGGGTCCCACGTGGTTCTTTAATTTCAGGGCGTTCAAGATTAAACCAAGATTGGGGGCAGAGAATACTACAAATGTTTCGGGACGACAACGGTGATAGTACTATCATTTGTTGCCATCCCCCTGTTTTGATCTCAGTTCAAGGTCGTTTGAGTCCGGCAGAAGCTATGTGCACACGCATCCCCCGAAGACTATCCTGAAGCCACTAGTTGCGAGGGCCGCTAAAGAAATACGGGTCTGTCGTCGCAGCAGTATGTGCAGTGAAATCTCGCCCAGGCAGAAAAGTTCATCGAGCACGCCTGTAATTGCCAGGGGGGCAGTTGCAGTTGCACCGACGTGGCGACCTCGGCAGGGCGATGTATGTTGCGCGTAAGCAGAAAGTTCCTCGCTTAAACGCTCTAAACCCTAACCCTAAACCCTGAACCAGACAAATCTCAGACTGTTGCCTTGAAGAGGTGGAAGTGTTAGGATATAGGGCCCGGACATGTGTTGGGCTGTTGATCTATAGGGTTCCTTTATTGGGATCCATACGGGATCTATAGGGTATAGGGTTTAGGGGTTTAGTGGTTCAGGGGCTGTGGCGTGAGAAAAGCCAAAATGGCATATCGAGTCATTTTTCCCGGTATTTTGTTGGGAATGCAATCCCTTGCGCCGCAGTCGCAGCAGCGGCAAGCCCGCAGAACCATAAACCTGCAAGCTTAAAATCCTAGAACTTAGAACGCATAAACCTTAAGCCCTAAACCCAGATCAAGTCCTGAAAGCTTGAAATCCTACAGTTTATAAACCTCTAAAACTCTAAACCTTAAGCCCACATCCTTAAATCAAAGCCTGGAACCCTCCAACTTATAAGCCCTAAACCTTATAGACCAACACCTCGAAGCTTGAGGCATCTTGCGGCTGTCCTGTGTATGTTGGCTTCCACTTCTATGCCTACGACTGCCAGCCGGAGGTCTGCGATCGCAGTTTGAGCAGAATGTTTGCCTTAGAAGCTAGATTTGGGGTACCGTATTTCAAGGCTCCGATGATTCAGGGTGAGATTGGGAATGACTGGTCTGTGAAACTCGAAGGTAGAGTTGAGGGTGTGGGATTAAAAACCTGTGTTAACGATCACAAATTTATGAGCAACGAGCCCGAATCTCGAAGTTTGGTGCGACCGCCTGACCGTTTACTGATCCTGACATAGGACGACGCATATTACTAACAACTTCCCCCCCATAGGCCCCGGTACAACTAAAGCCGAGTATACGCCAAGACCTGTTCCACATCCCCTTATGGTCCCTATAACAACTGTAGTCTTTTCTATGCCTGAAGACCCTACCCGTACCTTGTCTATGAAGGCCCCTTTTCAGATACTCAAGCCGGGATCTGCAGACTGTAGCCCTTAAGTACTTGAGGAAGGCAGCGAGCATTCCGAAGGCTTTGACCGACACTTGTAATAAAGCTGATCATGCCATTGCTCAATACCGCCGAGGGCGTTCTTGCTTTTGTCGTTCTTCGCGGAGTAATGGTTTGGCACTGTGGTCGCTATTCCGTATTGTACTTGGTTGCTCCGTTTGAGACACTGCTTGGGGCTGTATTGCTTTCCGCTTACTGTTCTGCCGGTTCTCGTAATCATCTGGTTTTGCACGACGCAAGAAGTGTTTAGCTAAAAGCGATGCTCAGCAGTCGCTTATGTACTGCTACGCTATCGGGCTTCCTGTCAAGGCACAAGTGTTGATTCGGTTTGGATTCGTTACTGATCTTGTTCAATGTCTGGCTTGCTAGTTCTAGTCTCGAAGAAACGTTCGGAAGCTGCTCGGTCAGTCCTCCGGCGGCTACAAGACGCTGCAGTCGCGCTTGGAGGCAGTGGCCGCCATCATGGAGTATCTTGGCGTATATGTTTATAAATGCACATGTATGTATTTGTGCATGTGCAAATACATATATATATATATATATACAATATAGAGAGTGAGAGAGCGAGAGAGAGAGAGAGAGAGAGAGAGAGAGAGAGAGAGAGACTCTCATACATATGCCTTGTTTATCTTCGCTGTGATGTCTTCCCGATTCTTGCTGCTTGTTGGTGGCGTCGGTTTCTTGGTTCCTTGTGCAAGTGAACATGACGTCCCATGATGCAAACTGTAGCTATGGGTTGCCTGTCAGCCCTGGTGCGTTCCTATCAGAACAGTGGAGTTCAAGCTGAGAGGTTTCTCTGTTTCGTGTTTGAGGGGTTCGTGGTGCGACTGGTGTACATCAAGCCGGCCACGGGCGCTTCTGTCAAGTTTTAGCCTCACATAGCTTGTTGTTCTGGTGCTTTAAAATGGTGAGGAAATATCCCTTCGTCAAGGGCGCGATTATCAACGAAGTGGGCATGCTGAACTGCGCGCCAGAGAGCTTGGACCCCATCTGCGCCGGGAGCTAAGGGAAGAAGCCGTCATGAGGGGCTCTAGGCGTGGAGCGCCCTCATGATTTATTACACTTTTTAAACCTGGGTTGGGTAGCACAAGGTCCCCAACTCGGGCAAGTACCCGGCCTCTGCCACGTCCGACCACGCCTGCCCGTCTACTGATGAGCTGCCCAATGGCTTGGCGAGCTTCATCGATAAGATCTTCGACTCTTGGACCAGCAGTGAGCACATCGGAGCCGAGTAAGAGGGTAGGGCGCTTTGTTAATCTAACATAAGGCGGAACTTTTAAACTTTTGCGGGGCGAGTTTGCAGCTGCTACGACAGACCCGAAGACAAGGCACGTCGTCCTTCCGCGCTTCGCCTTTGAAAGCCCACTGCTTTAAGGTTTAGGGTGGTGCTCTGATTGTTAGGACGCAGCATTGCAATGAGAGCGAAACTGCTTGTCCATTCTGGCTTCGCGACAGGTTGTCACCGGTAGCACTGCTGTGGCTGGTGTCTCATCACTGTAGCTGCAACCTTCACATCCCGCACTGTCACAGAAGCGGCAAGGACTACATCATCAGCGCGAAGACCAAAGACGGGCGTGAGGCACTTCCTGTGAGATGAATGTCCCCTCGGTTAGGGCTTTAGCTTGGAGTTACCGGCATGTACAAGTTTCAGTTTGGAGTCGGCTCGCGCGTTGATGTGCAGACTTGTGCACGACAAGATTCGCGTTCCAATCAAACCTAAACCCGAAATCCTAAACACTAAACACTAAACCCCTAAACCCCTAAACCCTAAACCCGAGATCCTAAAGCCGTTTCAATTCATCCCTCGGGAGCTGGCAGAAATCCAAGCAGTGAAGGTGGTGAAGGGCTTCTCGTGGTTCAATCAAGACCAAGACGGAGGTGCTGCTGGTTGGGGCTCTTGCAGGGTTTAGGGTTTAGGGGTTTCAGGGTCTAGTGTCTTTCTGGGGCAGAAAAGAAGGACGCAGACCGCTTCAAGTCAAATGTCTATGTGTTGACGAGTTGACGAACGATTGGTTCTGTAGGAACCAAATTACGGTTTCAAAACTCCTAAACCCTAAGCCGCATTTGATATCTGATTGCTGAACGCTGGAGTTTTCGAGACTCTCTGTGCATACAGCTTCGAGGCTGAGGCTTGTCCGGTGTTGGGTTCAGGTTACTCCAAGCAGAACCTTTGAGACTACAAGGGCTAACGGTTCTATATACGTGTATGTATATATATATATATATATATATATAGGGGCATGTTGATGCTATATTCATATGTTCAGATCCGTATGTATGTATTGTATCATGTCATTCCGCATCACGCCATGCTGTATTCCAGTCTATTCCAGTGTATGCTATGCTACTCTATACTATTCTATATTACTTGTATTCTCTTCGATTTAATTCTGGTCTATCCTGCCCTGTTCGATTCTTTTCTATTGTAATTTTAACGCTACGCCGCCCACCTCGGCTCTTTAGCGGCAGGGCGAGGGGCAGTGGATGTCGTACAGTATACACCATGCTAGGGGGGCCTCTCAGCCCCAACCTTTAACGGTTGGCGAGTGCGTGCGGGGGGAGGGGGGAGGGGGGGTACCTGAGGTAGTCCCCAAGACGCCTGGGCCAGTGGCCTCGGCGGATTCTATTCTATTCTCGTCTATCATATTACCATATGTATCACTGGTTTTCGTCATGCCAGTGTCATTTGCAGAAGCGACTGCTCACAGTGGCATCAACTCGTGCTTTGTTGCGCCCTTTGCGGTTTAGCCTGGATGTAATGTGAGGACCTGGAAACGTAGGGCTTCAAGGGCTAGCGGCTTTGACGTTTCAGATCCCGATCAAAGGCCCTCAACAGTTGCGCGGCACAGCAGTGTTGATCAAGCTTGGCGGCTCATGTTTTTGACCTGCAATCGACAAGCCACGAGTGCAGGTCGTGAGATGTCGTTGTTCACGTGTGCAGTGCTCAAATGTCCCTCGGGGGCTAGAACCGAAGCCCGACACGCTGGATGAAACATGTGTTCATTCCGGTCCTTCATGCGAGGCACCTACAACCTGCGACTGTTTAACAACGACGGTACCGTCAACAAGGCTTCTCCAGAAACGAAGTGTCTATCAGGGAGCTGGAGTTGGAGATGTTATAAGGGGCCCATAAGGGGCAGTGGCAGGGGGGGGACTTTTTGGGTTACTACAAGGGGTTCCCAGGGCAACTTCAATCATGGACATAGTATCGCCACTGCGACCATATCGAGAAGTGTTCCGTCTTGCTCAGTCATTTGTCGACCTTATGAGGCCGTTCTTTGACAAGCCAGCCCTCTACCTTAATAACCCTAAATATCCTTCCTTTTTCGGGTTCCTTATTATTATGATTTCCTTATATGAGTCCTTAAAAAGTTAGGATATTCAGGGTTAAGGTAGGCCCTATAGTTATTACGAGACTGCCATATGGGAGTTTCCGACCATTGGGGTGCCTTCTTGTGGGGTCCTTGCAATAAGGTTCCTATTGTACCGTATGAGGGTCTCCTATTTTCGGAAACTACAATATCAGATCTTTGAGAGGAGCCTGAATTTGGTTTAGCGTAATTAGCATGCTGACCTAAGGAGGTATCGTCGCTGTGATCATTAACGCGTAGCCCTGCTGGACTCGGCCTTTGAATGCTCCAACTAGTTACTAGGTATCATGAACAGCTTCTCAAGAGCTTCAGGGTCTACATCGGGTTTAGGGCTTGCCATGCGGGTTGGTGAGAGCTGCAGCATCAAGGCGCTTTCTGTGCGTACTACGTGGCTTAGCAGGACCTTCTGTTTCCAGCCAGAGGGTAGAGCTGCAGGCATACTGGGCAGGACAAGCGCTTTGATTCCCAAGCCCCAATGATGTCCCTTCCTACCAGATCCATAGTAGTTCCTTTTGGGGGTTCATATATAGAATATTATATAAGGTAATCCCAAAAAGGTTGAAATATGCCAAAATCACCCGCCCCCGGAAGCCCCGGCCTCCGACCCCTGAAGCCCGGAAGTCTGCACGACCGTACGCAGGCGGGTGAGGCGTACATGGCCGCCTGCACACGCTGGCGGCGATAATGGATTTTGTTGTGATCTTGACAGCACTTCGAGAGCGTAGGGTCTGACCCGTTCGTTCGAGCCCTTGTCTGGGTTTGGGGGCTGTAGCCTGCTGGTGATCGGTTGGATCCGAAGGCTTTTTGTCAATGTGGGAGATTCAGAAAACCAGGATCCAAAAGCTCCACTGGCTGTATCATCTCCTGAAAAAACCATTTTTTCTGAAACTCCCACGTCCGGGGACATGCGATGAATTCTCCCAAGGGCCCTCAAAGCCTTAGACTCGGAGTTGACAGAGGAGACAATCGACCCGTCTTTTCCAGGATTTGAATGTTTAGGTTATATACTCCCTTGGAAGAGCTCAGCTGTTTTGTCCTCGAAGTCTGTGCCCTGAAGTCCTGGGCGAAGTCTCACCGGAGTGTCCAGACAAAGGGCTGGGATTGGATGTCCCAGTTTCGAAGGGAAGCAGGACATATCCTGAATATGGTTTGGGATGGAAGTATGAGCCGTTCTTTGTCTTTGTTATGAATCAGAAAGGCTCTGGGTGCGAAATCTAAACCCTACACCCTGCGTTCCAGATAGGATACCTTCTTGGGAGCACCATCATCTTCCTTAGGAGATGACTCGATTGGGAGTCTGCCTGCTATGCATCCCTCTATACACACGAGAGCACCAATTGTAGATATCAAAAATCTGAACCTTGAACTCTCAACCACAGCCTTCTCGCACCCCTGAAAGCCTAAAAACTTATAAGCCCTAAACCCTAAACCCAGCCCCTATAATACTCAATCCGGAGCTGGAGCGAAGCTTGAAGCTGGTTTTCAGATTCCAGCCTCCTGAATGCGAACACCAGACCAAGAAAGGCGGCGAAGATGTGAAGACGAGTGGCCATAGTAGTACCTTTTTGGGGTTCATATATAGAATCCTATAAGGTAATCCCAAAAAGGAACTACTATGAAGCCTATGGGTAGAGATACAGAACCTCAACTGCTTTGGACGCGCAGACTTTACCGCCAAGCATTTGTACGGGTTGGACACTGATAGGCACTTTCGACAAAAGTCAGATTTGGTAGCACGGTAGGCACCATCGCCTGGTTCGCAGTCAGAATCAATCAGCTGATTCTGGTCTCTTTGCACAGCTGCAAAAGAAGGGGTCAAAAACATGTGATGGTAGTGGGCACTCCGTTGTTCGGCTTGGTTGTTCGGGAAGACAATGGAACATCTTTCAGCCCTAAGCGAGAATTATGACCAGCACAGAATTCGTAATTGACATGCTGGGGTGCTTCTAGTACAAACGACTGGGAAAAGTTTGCGGTTGGCGTAGCTCTACGGGAGCGACCCTGTGTGTTGCGGGCGATCTTGCCGCACTCTCTGCTCGTCACTGTGTATCTTGCATTTTGTCTTCTTGGCCTCGTTACTACCGTCAGCCTTCAGTTTGTAGCATAGTGCTTGAAAGCATTATCCATAAGTCCAGTTGCTCGTTCACAAGTACCCCAGCATTCTCACACTCATGGGGCTTCCAATAGCATCCGGCTCTGCTAAGTTTTGTCACCTCCACTACCATTAGTATGGTTTCGTTTCGCAGGGTTCAAACAAAGTGAACCGAAGCCTCAAGCCTCCTCACCTGCGCAGGTTTGAGACACAGCAGAGAGTGGCGTCCGTGCGCCAGCAATGCAGTGCCGCGATTGTAGACCTACACCTAAGGCCCGATGCTATCACCGAACCCTAAACCCTAGCCCCTGAACCAGCCTTCCATGCATATCTTCGAATCTATGGTCGGCGGTTTGTTCATGTGTGCAATTGTTTGTAGAAGGAGCTTATGGCAAGGAACCCTAAACAAGCTTTCTTTGTGCTACAGCCAAGTCTCTGCAGCATCTGTTCGTGCCTACACTCTGCAAAGCAGGGTGGAGTGTGAGCCTTCGGGGTCCTTAGACTCTAAAGCCCCCAAGGCACCAACCCTAGGATGATTACCGGATCTGTCCTTGCAGGCAATTCTTGGCCAGGTTTTAGGGCTCTTAGGGTTGAGAGGCTCCCTGCAGGCAGGGTCGAGACTTCAAGCTGGTCCTTCTGATGGGGAAACCGCTGTTGTTTCGTGCACTCTTGCAGACAGAATATAACAGTTATAAGCAGTTTAACATAAGTATAATATAATATCATAAAGTCCGAAGAGAGAACCATCCTCATGCAGGGTTGTCAGGGAAGGAGTCCCTCTGTTTCCTCGCACTCCTCCTTGCCAATGCCTATGGCGCCTTGCTTTGGTATATTGGTGAGTGGCGTATTTGGGTTTCGTTCGGGCGAGGACAAGCAGCAAAGCCGTCATGTCGTACAGTTCCAGGAGGTATGCAGTATAAGCGAGCTCAGAGCGCAGGGCCATCGTAGATACCATGAAGCTGTACAGTAACTAGCTGAAAGGCTGGAGCTTCAAAAGGGGCTGTTTCGTGTTGGCATTCACCATTAATTGTTTGCTCTTGGGTCATGACGACAGGCCGTAGCTGCCAACCCTAATTAGTAACTAAACCACATGGCAGGGACTTTGATTGAAAGGTTTCCGGTGTCAAAGGACCATTTTCTCGACCGATTGATGCATCACTTTCTGGCATACCACAGAAAAGAGATCGATTCACAAAAATGACTGGCTTCTGGAGCGACCGCTCATGCCGCCTGTTGAACCTCACAACATCTCGCGACTGCCCTACATTTGTCGGCATCTCAAATAAAAAACGCATAATCTCTTGCCCATGAATCCCCGGTACAGGAGCGAGAATTTCGTACGGGGGATTTCTGCAACTGCAAGGTTCTGCGTCTTGGTGAATAGCCCCTTTGCTAGAGTAACCCTTATATACTCTTCGTAACCACCGAGAGATATGAACTCCAAGCAGCAGACACGCTCTGCAGGGCTTGCGCTTCATTCAAAGCATACCTGTAGCAAGGATCCAGCTGCATGGGGTTTGTTTTCAAATTCCTTGTTGGTTCATGGACGGATCTTACGCACGTCTGAACCGCCTGGCTCAGATGCCTGCGATTTTCAAAGACCCGATATTGATGCTGTTGACTGGTTGTAGTTTTTTGCATTGGTAGCTGGTTTCCGAAACCGATCCACAAGACATGCGTTTGCTGATGGCGCAGTGTCGCTCTCGTTTTCTTTCTGTATTCATCAACCCACTCACAGATGAAAGCACAGTCTGCATCACTCTTCGGCCTGTCTTGATCACATCGTCAGGCTGGGATGTCTGAAAGCCGGCGCCATACCACGTCATTTGACTTAAGCGAAAGGCTATGCCGAATGCCATGTCCAAAGATGAACATCCCACAAGCCCAGCACATGCTGCGAATTCCTTGGGCTTCATGTTTCTAGCTTCCGCTTCCATCGGGTGGCATTCCTCGGGGAATATGGACTTGGATTGGGAACCCTTACGGCACCTAGGGAAGCACACTTTAGAGGCGTGCTGCAGCGAGAGGGGGACAGGAGCTCGCCACCCTCAACCTGAACTCCAAAGCCTGAGCTAGCCCAAACCATAGACTAAACAAGCACCAACTTGAAGCAAGCAGCCCCTTAAACCTTGAAGCCGTAGTAGGTGGGGGGTTCTTCGGGGGCCATGGCTCCATACCGCGGATAACTACCAGGAGGCCACCTCTTGGGCTTAGCTTTTGCAAGCAGTTTTGGTTTCAGGGGTTTGGGAGTTTTGGGAGTGCAGCACGGCGTACTATCAATGAGGATGCACTTTTTCAGGCACTCGCACTAAACGTTGAATTCCCTGTAATACCCTCAACCCTAAACCCTAAACACTAAAACCCTAAGCCCTAAAGCCCTAAAACCCTAAAGCCCTAAAACCCTAAAGCCCTAAAACCCCAAAACCCGAAAACCCTAAAACCCTAAAACCCTAAGCCCTAAAACCCTAAAGGCCTAAGACCCTAAAACCCTAAGACCCTAGAACCCTAAACCCTAAGACCCTAAGCTTCGGCATGTCGCAGGCGCCAGAAACAGCGCGTTTCGGCTCATGTTCACGCTGGCCGGGGCCCTCAGCTCAAAGTGCGTTGAGCCCATGTGGGGGTTTCCGAAAATAGGGGGACCCTCATCTAGTACCCTAAATAGTAGGACCCGAAAAAAATAGGGACCCCAAAATCAGGTACCCCCCCTAATTTTAGGAAATTCCCATTTGCCTTCTTAAGCCCTGTTGTAAGCCTTCAGCCTGAATTAGCAAACCTTCACTGCGAAGCCCGAAACCGTAAATCCCCCGCCGCAGACTTCGATACCACTGCACAACCTTCGAAGATACAGAGAAGAGCGCGACCGTAAGGTTGCCTCGCTCGCATATGAGTAGTTGTCAAAATTATGGTCCCTTTTTGGGCACCCTAAATATTAGGTGCCGTACTATATTAAGGGCCAAAAAAAGCGACCATAATTTTGACAACCACCCATATGAAAACCGACATGCCAAATGAACCAGCCGCACGGACTTGACTAGGAACCGCTGGCTACGGCTCAAGATGTCAGATGTTAGATCCTTCTGGCCCGTGATACAGGCAGAGGTGCGGCTCCCTGAGGGACATGGCTTTGACACAGATTCCTTTCCCTGCTGGGCTTCTCGGAAAGTTCGAGGCAGGGCAAGTCTCGTCTTCCTTCCAGGCGAAGCAGGCTTCTCCTGTGAGCTCACCAGCCAGCACGGGTGGCACATTCCCGGCTTTTGCGGACTCGCCGGTCTCGCCGACGGGCACGAGACCTGCGTTTTTCACTGCCAGCGCATGGGAGAAGCTTCGGCTTCATAAGGCCGGACAGTGCCATCCATGTGTGGCCTTCGCCTACAGAGCGGGTGGCTGCTACAAGGGCGACAGCTGTACCCACTGTCATTTTTGCACAGCGACCGAAGCAACCGCTCGAAGAAAGCAACTGCAGGATGCCGCACGACAGCAGAGGAAGAAGCGACGACCGGCAGATCAAGAGAAGGCAGCGGCAGCCCGCATTCTTGCGGGAGAGTCCTTCTGGCTTTGAGAGCTAGTCTGCTTCGCTAATGAGCCGCGGTAGGGATTGGGACGGAACCTTGGTGATTTTGTGCAGCTTGCAGTCAAGCCAGCTCCAGCAGCATGGGCGGTGCCTGTGCCCGACTAGTGAGCATGCCACTAGATTTATGGTGCTTACACTCTGTGTTCCGTTTGCCCAAACATCGCAGCGTGCAGTTCTACCCAAATACAACGACATGCCGCATCTGTCGGACAGGAACATCACGCTCCCTGCTGCCGCATCATGACACCATGAGGTGTATCTTGCAGCTTGCTTGACTTTTCTGCGGGGCCATAGGCCCCAAGCCCAAGCTGGCACGGCTGCGGGTTTATCTCAAATCAAGATAGTTTGCAACCATTAGCACACAGGCCGCTCTCAGCCCGCCCTTTGCATTGCCAGCTTCGGGTGTCTCCCTGAGTTTGGACATGGCTTTCTCTAGCCAGGTAACTTGAACATGCGCTGGAGTTTTGGAAAGCGCTATTGCCATGGGCCCAGGGGTTTGGCGGATCCGTGACGTGATCGGCCTAAGGCTGGTCAGAGCATATCTCGCACCACAGAAAAGACGACCCTTGGCGCTTCGATAGGTAATGTCAAGTGTTGCAGCATCATCTTGCTCCGGGGCTTGGGAGTACCATACTTTATTTTTTCTTGTAAAGGAACCAGTACGAAATAACAGTTTCTGCTTTTTTCTCCTTGGTTACCTAAAAGACCAGATTCTGTACAAATGCAGCGGACACCGAAGCTTCAGTGATTGCTCAGATTAAGATCTTCACAGTACCCGCAGGAAACTCAGAGCTGGAGCCCAAAACTGAATAATAATAATAATAGTAATAACAATAGTAATAGTAGTAATAGTAGTGATAATAGTAATAATAAGCCCTCTCTGCCGCAGGGGAGCTGACTCGTGATCTCTTTCTGTTACCCATAGGCCCCAAAGTAGTTCCTTTTATGGGGATTACCTAATAGGATTGTTTTTACGAACCTCCAAAAGGAACTACTTTGGGGCCTTAGGGTAGGGGCCAAAGAGGCACTTGTTCGTAATGCGCTTGAAATCTGCGAGTAGGGAATTGGACTTTACACGCTTTTGTCCTGAAAGCGCAGTCCCCAAAACCTAGTTCGGAATGTGGTCAGAGGGAGCCTGAGCGAGAGGCCTTGGTAGCGGATGACGTCCCCATCAAGCCGGAGGCAGGGATTATGCAAAAAGTAGTGGTAGCATGAAGTGTGTATTGTCATGTCTAATATGGCTTATATAGTGTGTATCGTAGGAGTCTGGGGCACTGAAAGGTTTTGGTCAAAGCTTGGGACCCCCCCTCCCCCCACCCCATTCCTGCTGGCGGCCGCGATGCATTTATTTCGCGGTACTGAACCGAACTCCGCGATCCTGAATGACGCTTGGCCATGTCGTTTTACCTGGCAGCACCTTTGCACGCACCGCGGGCGGAGCTGCATTGCTTTGGTTCAGGTAGATTGTCTAGTTGTGGTGGTGTGCTTAAACCAAAGCCCTAAAGACCCTAAGCCCCGCAGCTGCTTTGCAATGGCTGACAGGATTTCCGCGATGATTACCGAGATAGACTCAAGAAGCCGGGATCTCGATTGGGATGCAAACTTGATCTAAGAACATGTGTAAATTCCCTCAACCCTGAACCCTCATGCTGCATATGTTGGTTGTATGCGGACTCTTGCAGTCAGCATTCAAAGGTCCAGTTCTAAACCCTGAACCCTATACCCACGGAGCATCAGGCCTACCTAGCTTAATCCTCCTGGTCGCAGGCAGGCCATTCAGGAATTGTCAGCTGCTTCGTCACAGCCAACCATGGCTTCCATTCGAACACTGCAATCAGCATGGCTGAAAGGGGATCTCGTGCCCTTCAAATTGGGGTATCTTACGATGATTTCCTTGAGGGAAAGCAGTGCTGTGTGTTTTGCTTTCCTGTGTCTCTTGGTATCTGGTGCCGTCTTGTTGCCCTTCAGCTCGGGTGGCCGATGATGTAGGGCTTCTTAACGCCAGGGCTACCTTAAGTGTGGGGGGGGCCCTTGTGCGAAGGGTCTCTTTGGTTGGAGACCTGTAGCCATAGCTAGCAGCTCGCATATCTGAGGCCAGTTTCCATGGCTACATTCCTAACTCAAGTTAGAGCGCTGCGTGTGGCCAAGCACCACAACAGAGCCCTAGGCCGTGGAGCCCAAACCCGACACCCCTGATGTGCATCCGTGGCCTCCACGGGACATCGGGCCCTTGCCATCTGCTTCTCATGTGCACCATTTCAATTTTTCTTGAAATGCTCATTGCCTCGCTCGATGACCGGACCAAGCAAGCCACAACTTCAAGTCATTCCGATGGTCTTCGGAAGGCCCTTTTTTGAATTTTCAACATCGAAGGCCCAGTTCCGAACCCCGAAGGTCTGGACGAAAAGGCACCTCTCAAAGTGCGCCCAGGCAGATACAACTGCGCTTCGTGGACCGAGTGCTGCCCAACGTAGGGCTATGCATCGAGTTCTACAACTTCGTGAGCATCAAGGCCGCGTCTTTTCCCTGAGACAGGTTTAGGATTTACGGTGCAGAACCCTCGGGCATGATTTGACGACGGGAGAATGGATTCGGGAATTCAGTTGAGTGTTGAAGCATGGGAGGTCGAGATTGCAGTGATGCTATCGGATGCAGCCTTGAGCAACCCCGAGACTCACTGCAGGATGCCATAATCTATCCTGGCGATGGTCAGCAGTCCTGCGGCGAAGCCTACATCAAGGCAAGGTCACTGGGAAGCCTGGCTTGATGAGGAAGATGTTGCAGCTGCGCGTTGCTCCTTTTCTGCCACTGCTGCCACGGCTGGGGCACAGAGAGCGAGAGAGAGAGCTTCAAAGGAACCCTACTCTAATTCTTTAGGCCTCTATGATATCGGCCTGATTGCAGGTCAAACCCCGAACCCGAAACCCCCTTGCAGGTTGAGTTTAACTTTCTAAACCCTAAACCCCAAAACCCCAAACCCTAATCAGCAGGGCAAAACCCTATTCTAATGATTTAGGCCTCCAACGATCAGCCTCATTGCAGGTTGAGTTTAATTTGATTGTCTTCCAGCCCCTGATCGACGAATGGCTGGTCAGGAGCTCGGTCGCAGGCTGGCGTCCAGGAAGGGTTTCAGGGTTTTAGGGTGTTAGGGTTTTATATAGGGGTTTAGGGTTTTAGGGTTTTAGGATTTAGGGTTTTAGGGTTTAGGGTTTTAGGGTTTAGGGTTTTAGGGTTTTAGGGTTTTAGGGTTTAGGGCTTTAAGGTTTAGGGTTTTAGGGTTTAGGGTTTATGGCTCCTCAGGTTAGGGGATTCGGGGTTTAGTGGTTTTTGGTTTAGGGATTAGGGTGAAGGGGCTACGGGAGGCAGAGTTTAGGGGCAAGAGAGTTCTTTTTGATATCCTGTTTGTCTTTCGAGGATTGTGCCTGCGACTGCTCTTCTCAGAAAGCCCATACAGAGGATGCCCCTGTCTGCTACCCTATGAGGGATCCGGATTAAGCTGTTTAGAGTTTTGGGTTTTGGGAATTCGGTCTTGAGATTTTGGGGTTATGGATTTGGTTTAAAGAGTTTGGTTTCGGGGCTTATATAGGAGTTTGGGTTGGGGGGTTTGGCTTTCAGGTTTCCTACGCCATACTACAGTATATGAACATCTAAAGTGTACATACTACGATACGCCTGATGTACAATAACATACAATATTAAACCGTGAACATCTAGAACATACTATGATCTGCTATAATAACCTAGGATACTGAAATACAAGTATACTTATAAAACACAATACCGAACTAGGGCTTCGTGTTGTGTCGGTCTTCTGGCGATCCGGAGGCCCTGTTTGGAGCTGTGGTTGCAGCAGTTTAAGGTTGTAGGGTTCAGGGATTAAGGTTCAGGGTTTCATGTTTAGTCCGTAGGGCGTAAGATTTAGGGGTTCAGGTTTCAGGTTTAGGGTTCTGGATTTTGGGGTGCTGGGTTTAGGGCATCATCGAGCGTGGCACTCTTCGTCAGTACAGGGTTTCATAAAGGGTTAGTTATGTTCTAAGGCTCTTCTGCGCAATACGGGTTGAGGGTTCCTGGTTGGAGGCGTTGTTTTAACTACTTGTTGTAAGGCGTTGTTTTCTGCAATCTCATGATCTTTCTCCACAGCCGACAGCCTAAACTCTGTTTTTTACGCAAGTTGATTGATGTATTCACATGTCTATCTGTACATCAAACTATCCGATTCCGCAGGTCAACTTGCAAACGGTGAACACTGAACACACTTCTGCAGGTTTCGCATGTAGGAACGAAGAAGGCACTCGAGACCCGGCAGCCCCGCCCAAAAAACATGAACGCCAGACCTCAGCAGCTTTCGTCATGTAGGTCTACACACTAGGTGACAAGGATTTGGCTACCGGCTACCGGGCTAACGAGTTGAGGCATCAAACGCCGGATTTGGAGCCCGACAGCAGCCTCTTTGCCTCAAGCATTCCTGTGCTGGGGACCCCAGACGGAGAAGATCACTAGATGCAAAGTCAGATCCACGAAACCCACCAACCGAATACCCCTGAAGCCGAAAACACCTGCATCCTGAACCATGTTCAGCGTAAGTCAATCCCTAGAGTCCTTCTGCGGAGGTCGGCTGGATAGATTCCTCCACAACGCGAGGGATCACTGTGTCGCTGGGCTTCTTCCAGGCCAGGCGGATATCTTGGGTTCTTTCCTTCTCTTCACTATATTCAAAAATTACACAATAACCCCTATTATAGTTAAGGTACTTATAGCCCTAGCTATTCTATATCTACAATTACACAATAACCCCTATAGTTAAGGTACTTATAAACCTAGTTATTCCGTCTTTAGTGGAAGATCTGATTAAGCTCTGGTCGTCTCGGGGTCGGTTCTGCGTCTCACAGCCCAGCTCGACAACACCCCGAAACCCTACACCTGGCTCCACCTAACAGGTCTTCCGACTGTAGCAGGGAGGAAAAGGGCCCTCAAAAAAAGAAGCCCCTAAACCCTAAAGCGCCACACCTTCAAAAGCTGCACCTTGACACCTATACCCTATAAACCTGAAATCCTGAGGCCTCATGGAAACCTGTGTACACTTTGTAGTAGCCGTTAAAATAAGGTCTACCGAAGCAAAATACTTCGAAGCGAACCTTGGAAACGCCCGTGGGGTTTAAGGATACCAAGATTCTTGTCGCGTCAAGATGCTCGTGTGAATTCGGGACCGTGACGGAAGGCCTGGCAAGACGAACCAAATTCTTCCTTGGCCCGGAATCCCCCAAACCCTAGGCCTCAACCCGGTCACCTGCTTAGAAGTTGCGGATGCTGTTTAAAAAAGGAGCTCAAACAAGAAAATAAACAAAACACGGTCGCCAAGCTTTATGACATCGAGGTCGGAAGCATTAGCGAAAGTGTCATGCTGTAGTAAGTGATAGTCCCTACATACCCTTTGTGGAGCACCAGAATGCCCTGACCCCCCCCCCCGCCCACCCTGCGCTCCCGTCCCCACCCCAGCACGAGGATGTGGAGATTCCGGCTGCAAACCTCCGCACGCCCTATACCTTTGACCAGGCCCAGGAAACGTGGGTCCTTGGCTCAGCTTCTTGTGGATTCAAGGGCTTCGGGGTTGAGCGTGGGGGGGGGATGGGTGTTTCAGCGTTTCAGCTTCCCTTCTTGAGGCCGTTCGAGCTCGTTTTGGGGGGAGACCGGGGAGTTAGAGTTTGTATAGACTGGACGCCTGATGGTTTTTTCATGCCCCCAGGCCTATTCTAAATTAAGGCCTCTATGGTTATAGCTGTAATAGTGGTGTAATAGGAATATAATAGGGCCCTACTATAATCCTTATAGTCACTATTACAGGGCGGGGGCAGCTTCTAACCTGTATGGTTATAGCTCTTCTCACCCAGGCAGGCCGAAGTCAGTCACTTCTACCGGTGTCCAAGACAACCCCAGGGTTTAGGGTTTAGGACCCTAACCCCCCAAATCCTCACACTCAGAGCTTATCCGAGGTCCGTATTTCCATCATGCAGTCTAGGTGATCACTAAATTACAAGGCCTGGTTTGGATAAGGTAAGCAGACTTGGGTCGATAATGCTTTGCCTTTCAGGGGGTTCATTTTAGGGAGGACTGCTGCGTCAAGAGTTCAACAATTTCCGTGAATGTCTCTATGCGTGTGTGTGTGTGTGTGTCTGTGTGTCTGTGTGTCTGTGTGTCTGTGTGTGTGGCTGTGGGTAAACTGTCCAGCTGTTGTGGTTCCACCAAGATTTTGTCTCATTGAGTAGCGTCAAGCTGCCTCTTCCAGCAGAACCCGGTTTTCACGTGCTTCCCCTGCTCCATTGACTGCTCCGTCTACTCAGAAGTGTCCTCGCCGAGGTGTGGATCTACTATGATGAGGCCGGTGACGGAAAAGGTTTAGGGTTTAGGGTGCCTCTACGGGGCTTCACTGGGTTTGGCAACTCTTGGGTACCTGTGTGGACTACCATGCATCGACCTGTCGCTCTGTCTCTGCGGGGTCGAAGATTCATGTCATCATCATCATCATGATCATCAGCAGCCTTGTCTTCACGATCATGAGCCTCAACATGAAAAGTTACATCATCATCTCCATCGCAACAGCATCATTATCATTGTCACCGATGTCAACACCGTCATCAGCATCATCAAGATCATCAACCTCAGCATCATCATCAACAACAGTTTCATCATCATCATCATCATCATCATCATCATCATCATCATCATCATCATCATCATCACCATCATCATCATCATCATCATCATCATCATCATCATCAGCACAATCATCATCACCACCTTTGTCATCATGACCAACCTGAACCTCAACATTATAGCGATCATCATAAGCATCATCACCAGCATCAGCATCATCATCATCATCATCGCCAGCAGCAGTAGCATCACCATCATCATCAACATCATCATCAGTTTCACTATCATCATCAGCAGCAGCCAGCATTATCACCAACCTCAACCTCAACATGAATCACCTTTTTCTCATCTTCATCATCATCTCACCATTACCAGCTCAGCATCAGCATCATCATCGCCACCACCATCTCCATCCTCATCATCATCCCATCACCGTTCTCCTCCTCCTCCTCATCATCATCATCATCATCATCGCCATCATCCTCATCCTCATCGCAACTGCTGCTCTTCTTTTTCATATCAGCAGCTTCAGAAGTACTGCATCCCAGGAGACGGAGGAGCGCTCCAACTTCTTTTACGAGAAGGCTCTAAGATCAATGATGTTTGCATGGTGTAGGGCTTCAGTCTATGCGATTGAGGGCAAAGCTACGGTGCGCAACAGAGTTACCGGGATGGAGTCACGGAATCTACGCAAGCTCTTGGCAAACCCAGTTTCCAAGCCCTGCCTATGATGGGGTTTGGGATCTTAAGGGTTTCCCTGTGCCCCTACAACACTCAACTCAAAGCCCTGCACCCCCTGCCCTGCTTAGGGTTTAAGGCTTTTAGGGTTCGTGAGGCAGGACGGGTTTAGCTGCGTTTCGCGTTCGGGGCCCAGGGCGAACTGGTTCGCTTTCGCGTCACGGCCATCAACTTCCCCGATGCGTCGTGGCCGAAGGAGGGACCTTTGCACTTTTTCTCTGCAGGAAGGTAGTACAGGGGCATTAATATTTCTTAATAACTACCTAAACTATTTTGGGGGTGCCCTAGTATGATTCTTGTATCATGGGCCCCCAAACCCTATTCTAATGATCAAGGCCCCTACATTGCAGCCCCAACCCCTTTTTGACCCTCAACCCAAGGAATTTTCTTCTAGGCAATATATAAACCTTCAACCACTCAACCAAGGAATGTATATATCCAGACTGGATAGAATCTTCCCGCACCAGTATGAGAACGACTCAAGCCGCAACATGTGTTTTTGAGTGTAGGGTAAGCAGTTAGAGCTGCAGTTGGGGGGTGGTCAAGGGTGGCAAGACCTGCAGTTTGGGACTTTGGGAGGTTTGCAAACATTTCGATCTCTCTTTGCTCTTCTTACCCACTAGCTCTGATGCTGGCTATCTTCATGTGGTGATGATGTGACGAAGGTGAAGTGGATTTTGATGCAGAGTGTGCTCCACTTTGAAGGTTGAACCAACAGTGGTGTTGGTGCCAAGTAGGGACTGGCATGCAGGCGGAGCCAAGATTGTCGCGGGTACGTCGTGGAGGGTTGCTGCTGCTGTAGCGGTTACTCAGATCGTACCTGTTGGTAGGTTATTCAGCTTCGTGTGCAAAGTAATTAAAATTATTAATTGTCGGCGGTGGCTTCAGCACACACGACATCTACCAGGAGCGGCGGCTACGCAAGCCGATGTCCATTGTCGGCGCTGTCGGTATCCTCAACTTGCGAGTTGGGGCTTTGGTTTAGGCTTTGAAGGGTATGGAGCTCTGGGTTCGTTACCTCATCACGATCAAGGGGGCTAATATGGATTTGTTCACCCCTTCAAGTCAAGGATCTTGAGCTGGTTTGGGGCTCTTGCTGCTCAACCCTATGGTGTTAAGGATCCACACTACACCACGTCTATGCTTCGTCGTGGGCTCCTGAAGCACCCAGGTCCTTCCCTAAAACCCTAAACCCCTAAACCCTAAACCCTTTCACAAGCATGCAAGAAGGCGTTCTTGGAATCGGAAGGCTTTCAGGATTCGTAAGCTCAGGTCAGATCCTCGCAGAGTCTAGGGCGTCTTGTCTCGTCTGAGGCCTGTTAGCTCCTTGAGTGGGATCTGTCAGAGGCCCTAGGATTAACTTCAGTGCGAAGGTTTCCCGTAGTCAGGTGCAGGCCATCGTCTGAAATTTGCAGGAGCAGCTGTTAAGGGCTGAATTGGTTTGTGCTGCAGGTCGATCGAGACGGATTGGGGCTGCTAAGCTGGCGCTGCGCCCAGAAAGGTTGACGGGTCTTCCAGCAGACAACTGATTGCACACGCGTTTGAGCTTTCGCGTTTGGGGGTTTTGGGTTGGCTACATGGCGCCTACCATACAGCTCAATCAGAACTCAAGGCCCATTCTGCAGAGTTTGGCGATAAAGCGGTTTCAGTCATACTCGAACTGTATCGCTGAGCCGCTGAGATCCAGGTCATTGCCATAAAAGTAGTCAGGAGTCTTTTCTCGGTATTGCAGGTTTCAGGTGCAGAGAAGCAAAAGATGATGATGATGATGATGATGATGGAATCTTTTGTTGTTTGCTGCTTTGGAGGAGTCACATAGCTTAAATTTGCACTTGTGTGAGGTTTCGACCTCCCAAAGAAGCAGAGCTTGAACATAAAGCTGAGACAAGCCGCCGAGGTGGCCCCAATGACCTGAGAGTCAGCTGCACGCCAGCACCGCCCATCTCACCATGAAGTAGTAGGGTTTAGGATCTAGGGCAATTAGGCAAAGGGCAAGTTCTTGAATCATCCTGGATGTAATCGTAGCCGGGCTCCCCTTAGACCCTAAATCTTAACCCCTAAACCCTGAACCTTAAACCCTAAACCCTTAACCGTTAGACCCTAAATCTTAACCCCTAAGCCCTAAAACCCTGCATCCGCAGGAAGGCCCCAAAGCTCAAAGAAGTGGCAAAATGGACATGTCGGCTGGGCTTGTCTTCGTAAGATCGTGGTCAGTTTAAGGTGAGGTTTTGGGGGTTCAGGATTTTAGGGTTTTTACGGCTTGGGGCTTTAGGGTTTTGGGGTTTGGGGTTTTAGATTTTAGGGTTTAGGGCATGTAGTAGTATCCCTGATGGTTTTCAGTTGGAAAGTATGCACAAATCGTTGTCTTGGAAACTGTCTTCTGAATAGTGTTCCTGCCGAGATTTAGCATCACGGCTCTTGGTAACGAAAGAAGGGGTTTGTCGGACTCTACTACTGGATGGTGTTCGTCGGATAGCCGGCCGCATGCTGTCTTTCGCTGAAGACCCTGCACTCTTACAGCACGCACCTGCAAGACAGGGGAGCATAGATACAGTTGGCGTTCCAGTAGAAATCATACGCCCTTTCAAATGCAGGGTCCCGTTTCGGTTTGCTTAAGTACCTTGTTTAAAAGTGGCAGAGCTTCATGCCACCTGCAAGGTTTGACTTGGATGCGGGCTCCTACTTCTGTATTGATGAGTGGCCGATTTGCAGACATTGAGGGTGAGGACACCTGACGTGACAGTGGTTCTCGGCTCTATCAAGATTCAGCCCGTGGTAGCAGACAGGTGACAGATGGTTGTTGTTCAAGCTTCATCCGTTCCTAGGAGGCACACACAGCAAGTCGCCTTGATCATGTTCAGCTCGGTCTAAACCCTATAGAGCTCCTAACCCTAAACCATCGAAGCTTCCGTTGTGCGTGCTTCCAGAATAAAGGTTTCAGGCGCCGCAGGAAGCCGCAGGTGAGCGGCGCCATGAGAAGCTTCCGCGAACTCCTCCAGCAGGTGGAGGAATGTCATGATGCTGAGGTTGCAAGGCGGGATCTGGGTGGTTACCTAATGGGGGTACGGTACGTGGTTATTAGGGCACAAGTCCTTGGAACGAGATTCCTGATCTTGTTCCATGATTCTGCAACGGTCTTCATTTTCTGAGACTCAGTCTTCAAATTTTGAACTTATCGTTTCCACATATTTTCATAGCTCCAATTCCTGCGCAGGCTCCGCGACTATTGCGCAGAGCTGGAACAGCATATGGACGCCAATCCTTCCACCCGGCGTCGTCGTGGTCAGGAAGCGGGTTTTGATTTGCTGCATCTTTCGTGCCCCTGCATGCTGACCGTACTGTTCCTAATGGATGTAGTGAGCCTTGCCAAGCCCGCGCATTGAGACCTAAACACCACAAGTCCTATACCCTTAAGCCCCAGGCCCCAAACTCAATAACTCCCACACCCTAGAAATCCTAAACCCTACGAAGCCAATAGTTCTGAACGTTAAACCCTAAGCCACAAACCCACCTCGGAGGAAGCCCAGGGTACCTCTTTGCTGGGGAGTATGGTCCGATGTCCGTGCTGGACCCCGGTGCCCATTCCGCTGCCTCCGCCGAGCCTCCGAATGGACAGGGGCAATGCCCAAGGCCGGAATTCGGGTTTAGGAGTTTAGGGTTGAGGGTGGTTTTGCAGGGTTAGGGTGCAGGGTCGTTCTCAGGCGTAGCTGTTTATGCTGTTCTTTGAATTTATGGATGCATTGGAAGATCCTTCTCAGCCTGTACAAATGAAGAGTTGTGGTCACTGACAACATCGTTGGTGTAACATCTTTCACGAGTTGTTCCAGCCAGCATACTCAGGTTCTTTTATGTCTGCCCAGTATACTCAAACTCTATAATCCCTAAAGCCCCTCTACACTGCACTATTTCGGGGATTACACTATCTCGGTGCCGGGGCACACCACTCCCGACCTCCCTGCCTTGAATTCCTTGCGAAGGCACTTCGCCACCGTTCCGGGAGGAGCCCAAGGAGGCAGTTCATGCAGAAACATCGGCGCCGCCACAAGCGGAGTTACTGGAGCCCGCCGGGGCGCCCAGCGAGAGTTGAAATGCAAAGGCTCTTCCCATCTCGGCCATGAGTACATGGCTGCAACCCTCATGAGTTGGCTGCAAGAGAGTCGGCAGCGGGAGTCAATGCTGCTCGGCCATCATGGTCGACGTGAGTGGGGCGATTGCGATCGCGGGGTGCCCCATGCCTGATCCGATGAGTAGTCGCCGCCCAGCTGTTTTGGCAGCGCTAGGGTCCAGATGCGTGCGCGTAATGATGTGATGATTGGCGCCGTCGTCGTGGTCATTGCGTTGACTGTACTATCAGCACTACCGCAAGCACCACATCGTAGTAGCAGCAGTATAGTTTGGCAGTGGTGGTGGTAGTAGTAGTAGTAGTAGCAGCAGCAGCAGGAGGAGTAGTAGTAGTGGTAGTAGTAGTAGTAGTAGTAGTAGTAGTAGCAGTAGCAGTAGCAGTAGCAGTAGCAGTAGCAGTAGCAGTAGCAGTAGCAGTAGCAAGTAGTAGTAGTCGTAGTCGTAGTCGTAGTCGTAGTCGTAGTCGTAGTCGTAGTCGTAGTCGTAGTCGTAGTCGTCGTAGTAGTAGTAGTAGTAGTAGCAGCAGCAGCAGCAGCAGTAGTAGTGGTAGCAGTAGCAGTAACAGCAGCAGCAGCAGCAGCAGCAGCAGCAGCAGCAGCAGCAGCAGCAGTAGCAGTAGCAGTAGCAGTAGCGGTAGCAGTAGAAGTAGCAGCCCGCGAGGCTGGACAAAAATCAGGACCCGCCGGTTTTACTCATGAAACGGACGGCCGCAGCGCTTTCTCTCCCCCACCCCGTCCCCTTTCCCATTGGTGTGGCCCTCGTTGGACGATTCTTTTGGCAAAGAAGCGGGCATTGTCATCAGCGCGATCTTTGGCGGCGGTCGGTGACCCACCACACTATAATGTCGTCGAACTCCAGCTCACAAATCATTCGTGCTGGTTGCCTGAGGTGCCTTTCCAATGCACGTTCGGCGAAGAAGTGCAGCAGCTAGGTTTTCGCATCAACTGGTCCGGAGAAAGGCAAGACCGGGTTGACGAACGAGTTACACCTGTGGCCAGCTTCAATTGTCAATGCAGCCACATCTGTCGCGTCGAGATGCATCCTTGACAAACATGATGTGGCAGGCCATCCATTGAGTCCATCCAGGAGGGCGCCGCTTACCAAAGATACGGGGCTGCAAATTATCGGAAAGTGTGCCACATGAGACGCCAGGCTGTCACTGGGACTCTGTTCCTGCCTTGCAGACCGAGGTGGCATTCGTGAGATGGACACAATACTGGCCATAAACGGAACTGACACTCAGCATCAGACGAGCTCCGTGGCTGCAACACACATGGAATTGCTGATCCTTGAAAGGTACCTTCCATGCCTTGACAAAACGACCAACCGAGGTTTGGCAACCGATAGAAACACAGATGACTCATGACCTGACCCCCCACACCTCTTAGAATCGTTTCCGCAAAGGAGATGATTTGCTGCCGCTTTTGCGGGAGCGACCACTGCAGCTAAGCATGACGAGATCGAGCAACACGCAGGAAGCACCGCTTTCATGGATGTTGGTACGGAAGCTTGGAGAGTCGTTTGCTCATAGCGTCAGGACACTGCCCTGGGAACTTGGATCCATTCCAACATGTTGACCTCAGTCGCAGGTCTATGAGAATGTATTCAGACCCGACAAGATATCCATGCCGCATCAAGCCGGAGTTGCATCCAATTTTTCATACCTTTTGAAAATGATATCGGCAATCAATTCTGCGCTCGTCTAATTTGCAGGAGACCTCTTATTACTCAGTGCCGAGACTGGTGTTGAGAAGCCAGGTGCACGTTCGCAGCAGCCAACATGAAAACTACGCAGTCACGTGGACCCTTCGCCTCAGTGACCTATTCTTGCAGGTCTCCTGTCCACTAACTCCCAAAGCACCGGGTGGAAAACGGCGACTAGTGGACCACACGGACCAGTCCAGATCCCAGCAGAAGTCGATTGTCTATTTGCAATCCACATCGGATGCAAGGAGGATAAGTCTGAATACGCACTTGTCTAAAGTAATGCAATACATCCACCAACCAGAAACACCCAAAAAGTGCGCACACATGAATATAAAATCTACAGACATGCACCTGCTGAAGCGTGGTGACAGTCTATGTTAAGCCTTCCTGCGGAAACCTGATTGATCAGGTTCGCAGAGTCTCATGGCCTGAAGTACCGGCGCCAGCCCACACGACGAAAGAATGACAGTAATCTTCGCGACTTTGGTTGGCATGGACGACGTTCGCGCGAAAGATCGCATCACTGCTACGCTGGGTTCCAAGCCGTCACATCCCACCTTGCCGTCGGCACCGCTGGAATTCCACAGCTAATTAAGTCATTGTCCGGTGCGAGATAGCACTGACCTGTACGATCAGGATGCAACTCGAGACAATCCAGGCATGTTCATACTGCCGCGCTGCCGTCGTCAAGGAAGATACGAGTGCATCTACTTGAACGGAAACGTGGTGACGTCGACGACCGCCGCGACGGCAGTGGCTTACGACCGCGACCTGGTACTGCATCTGTGTAGGGGTCGACATTGCCCGTGCATGGACATGGCCCTGCATCCATCGACTTGAGTTCTCTCGGCTGACATTTGTTGCGACCGTTGCATGGGTGTTTTTGGTCATCGAACTGTCGCTCCGCCGCCACCCGTCGCATCCTGCAGGTCACTCTCACCTGCGTAGTGCCGTCAAAACCGCTCTCAAGTGGTGGTGCCTGTGCCCCCTGCGTGCGGCTTGCCCGGCAGATCAGCTACGCAGCGTGAGATGCTTCAGCATCCAAGTCCGGGCCAAAATCTGGCAGCTGTTGTTGCAAGCGGAAAGCGTCTGCGAGTTTTTGCCGAGAGCATGGCAACACAGGCCCACAGATGCTACAGCCGCTGCAAAAGAACTCTAATGCATATCTGCATATCATATCTTCTTGAATGTCGCTTCCTAATACGTCAGCTCTTGACGGGATTTGACGGGTTTTGAGTCCACGCTAGCCTCGGCTCGTTAGTCACGGGGCGTTTCTGCTTGTGTTTTTTGTACCACTGAGCCCCATGCGAGAACCGAAGTGTCTGACTGTCTGTCTGCCTATCTCTGTTTTTGTCTCTGTCTCTCTCTGTCACTGCCTGTCTGTCTGTCTATCTGTCTGTCCGCGTGTCTGTCCGTCTGTCGGTCTGTCCCTGTCCTTCGGTCCGTCTCCGTCTGTCGGTCTGTCTCTGTCCTTCGGTCCGTCTCTATCTGTCGGTCTGTCTCTGTCCGTCGGTCCGTCTCTGCCTGTTTGTGTCAGTCTGTGTCTGTCTGTCTCTGGCTGTCTCTGTCTGTCTGTGTGTGTCTCTTTCTGTCTGTGCGTGTCTGTCTGTGTCCGTCTGTCCGCCTGTCCGCCTTTCTGTTTGCCTGTCAGCTTGTCATAGCTTGTCTGTGTGCGGTCGGTCGGTCGGTCGGCCGGTCGTTCGATCGGCTGATCAGCCTGCCTGCGTTCCTGCCTGCCTGCCTGGCTGTTTGTCGGTCTGTCGGTACGTATGTATGCAGGGATGTACCTATGTCTGTCTGTCTGTCTGTCTGTCCGTCCGTCCGTCCGTCTGTCTGTCTGTCTGTCTGTAAGCATGTACGTAACATTATGTAACTGTATGTATGTTATTTGCTTTATATATTCTATAACAAGGTCAACGAATAACTGCGCAAAAACTCCAGAAGCAAATTGAAACGGATTGCCAGAGTATAAATATATTGAGAAATCGCATGTAAATTTTGCGGCGATGGCGTTCAGAATTGTTTTGAATGCTCTATTTGTCTCCTTGCTGGTCAGTTCTGGGTTCCGATGTCCAAAGCGGCGCGGCAGGAAGCGCTGGGCTTGGATGGGGTGCACTCAGGGTTGGGAAGCCCGTTGGCGTTTCTCGTTCGGCATTGGCCGACAGAAGACAGCTGTTTTTGCTGTTGGCGATGGGTCGTGTGCAATTCGGTTCATTCTCCCGGCTCCGTTGTTCCGGTCTTATAGTATTTATAGTTTCTGAATACCGCTACATGGGTGTCGTTCTTCAAGAATCCGAGAAATGGTCTAAGCAGACCGACAGGATGCCTGGCAAGAGCACCTGCCAATTCAATCAGTGCGTGGCTTGGGCAGAACGGTTTGTTTCATTCGCATGTGCTGCCTTCATTGACACACGGGGCAGCTTTCCTTGATGCGTCTGTGCGGTGCTTGGATATGGATGTGCGCCAATTGGGGCGACGTTTTCTCAATTGGCCGTCACGCTCTCCCCGTGCAACCGTTAGAGATGAACTTGGTTAGGACCTGTTCGCAGTGCAAATCCTGCTGCGCAAGCAATTTATTCTTGCTCGGCCGCTCGTGGTGGTGTTCACTATGATCTCGCTTCGCTGGTTTTTCGACATGCCCTTGGCCTTCAAATGCAAAGGTAATCAGAGGCATTTTGCAGCTCGAAATTTTTTCGCCTCAAGGTCTGCAAGAGCGACGTTGCCTGATGAGTTCGGCTGCGAGAAAGAGAGAGAGAGAGAGAGAGAGAGAGAGAGAGAGAGAGAGAGAGAGAGAGAGAGAGAGAGAGAGAGAAAGAGAGAGAGAGAGATGAGTTCGGCTTGGGCACAGGTAGTGATATCTCCATTTTCGTGCGCTGGAGACACCCGTGCGCATGCCCAGCCCGTGATGGAGTTGGCTTGCGCTTGCGGAGGGCTGAGGCATCGCGACTTCCTCTCACGGCATTTTTGTTCAATGTCATCCCGATTTGGATTTCTCACCTTGCATCCATGCGTCTCGTTTGCCATCCTCGGTGGTGCAGGATGGTGCAGGAATGGACACTGGCCAGATGTGGCCACCATCCCCTCTTTGATGGCCGTGTTGCTCGCCATCGCAGCTTGGATCACCCATGCCGGCGCATCTTGATTTGCCGATTGGAGCCTCATCCGTGCCCTTCGTATGTTCCCCCTGTTTCTGCACTGGGGGCGCAAATGGTTGCAACTCTTGCAGTTTCGTAACTGCGATTTCCTTGTCCCCTGGCGCCGGGGCACGCGGCCTTCATATGCGTTTATGCAGGGATGCTCCAGTTTCCAGGCCCGTGCCCACCAAACGGAGCAGCTGTTGTGCATGTGGTTCAGCATTGAAGTGCAACAATTGCACCCAAAGCCTCCCAACGGCTGAAGGAGGCCCCGCCCCAACTAATGTATTTCCGGGGGGCCCGTACGTCTACCCAATACATTCCCACGGCCTCCAGAATGTATTTCCGGGGAGGAGATGCAAAGGGTCCGCAGTAGTATCACCCTACTTGAACCCTAATCTCTAATGGCTAAACGCCACATCCCAAACCCCACCACACCGAGAGCGAAGTCCCGCTCCCTTGTGTGAGACGTGGTAGACCGCATTTCGCCCACCCCCTCCCGAAATACAATCTTGCCTGACCTCAAATCTCTCCCTGTGCAGAGGTCCTGTCAGTGGTAGGAGGTTTCACAGGCAATAGGTGTGGTTTACATAAATTTTCTTTCACTGCGAGGCTACCGCGAGAACCGAAGTGATATGTGATCCAGTACGAGCCACTACACGTAGGCGGACCTTCTGGCAGGGGCGCAGGGCCCCGGAATGTATTTCACGCCCCCCCCGCCCGAAATACAATCTTCCTGCCGGGGGCTGTGCCGTGAAGACGAACCCGAGAGCTGCGTGTCAGGCATCCAAACTAATCCTCCAGAGCTGTATTTCAGGCATTCTAACTAGTCCGACTACTTCCACAAAGTCTTCCCGAAAGCCTCCCCGAACTAGGTCCATGGTGCCTTATCGAGTACGACCTGCTACATATCCTCGGATATGTGTAGTGTATTACTGTTCGCAAATCTGCTCCAAGAAGTGCTGAGATGAGCGAGTGTTGTAGCAATGCTGGCCGTACAGAGAGCATTCGACTGCATCTTCAGTGACAAGGTCGGCATGGCAGCTGCAAAACAAAGTGAGTGCACCATGCCCGCGAAGCACTTGCTTGCTGAGTTTTTCTTTTCCTTCGAACGTCCAAAACCCCTACGAAATACATGTCTCCATCCCTACTAACCCCCAAAAGGACATAATGTATGAATTGAGGGGGGGCCTCCAAATGCGAGTTGAAGCCATCTGTGGCTGAAGGACTCACGCGACGAAAAGGTGTTGGGGATCAGGAGACAGTTTTTGTTTGTCCCTCGCCGTGTGCCGATCGCTGAGGACTCCTTCGCAATCCGGTGAGGAAGCTTTGGTGTTTTTTGTATTTCGCAGAGTATGTTGGGACACATTTTTGCAAGAGTTTGCAAGTGCCTTCAAAAGCCGCCGAGGAAGGTACAACTGTTGCAACGTTTGTCCAGCCACAATTGGGAGCGGAACATCGCACCTCACCCTGCGAAATATTTTTTTCACAAAAAAAATCACATAGTCGATATCCCGAAGGTTTCCTGGATGATTTTGCCACGTAGCAGGCGCTAACCAAACCTTCCCCACCAAGAAACCATGCGATTTGACCCAGTTCATCCCAATTCCTGCAGTTTGCTAGCATGACGTTGTTTTTGACATGCAAACGCAGATTGTCAAAATTCAAGGAATTTTCGTGTCCCGTGTGGTTTGGATTGTTACGATCGTAAGCAAGAATTACGCACGATTTCGGTTCCGTTGCCTATTCCATTGCGATATTCGACTGGAGCTACGTGCACCGGAAACATCAGAATTGCCGAATCTCAACCGCCGAACATGCTCGGGAGCATGATCAGGCTGTTGAGGCTTGCCTCAGCACGCTGTTCTACGGAGCCGCAGCCTCGCCGCTGCAGGCGACAACTGCTTCGGCGGCACACCTGCCGCTCGGCTACGGAAGGCTAGGTCTGCGGTCGGAAGCAACACATGCGCTAGCCGCTTACTGGGCCTCTTGGCAATGCGGCAAGACTTCTTCCCCGCGCTGCTTGCACGCCCCCCTGCCGAAGCCGAGCGGCTCCTCGCCAGCTTGAACTCGCCGCATGCTGGCATGCCCTCTGCCCTTGCAGCTGCGTGCTCCACTGCCGCTCAAGTCCGACAGGCCGGCTCTCCCACCCCTTCTCGGGATCTCTCGGGGGGAGACTTCAGCCGTTCCGGCCCCACAGCAAGCCCATGGCCGCAGAGGGAACGTGGCTGGCAACGCGCTGCCGCTTCCGCTCGTGATGAGCGCGCCATCGGGACGCGCCTTTCTCACCTCGACCCCGCGTCTCGTGGCAGGTGCTTTCGCAAGCAGGGCCGAAACGGCTGCGCACGGCCTGGCACGGACACCCGCCTTGCAGTAGCCGCGCAGGATGTGGCTAGACGCAGACGGCGCCAAACGTACCCCAGGCTCCAGGGCGCCAGACATGCACTGCTCGTTGTGGTCGGGATCGAGGTCGGGACAGGTGGTTCAGCACCGACGCAGCCTCCTGTTTGCGCCTATTAGCAAAGCACCGTACCGCCAAAGTTGCAGTTGTGCGCTGCTGTCCACGCCGGCTGGGTGCAGATGTGGTCCGGATTGCTCGCTATATCTCGCTATCGCTGCGATGCATGCCTACGCAGCCTCCCTGCTTGAGCTTCCGCCCGCCGGTGAGGCTTGCGGCACGGGTGAGGCTCCGGAGCTGCGCGAGGTCGTTGCTGACGTGCACGGCAGCCTCCCGCCTGCGACCAGCCGCTTGCCAGCGCCCATCCCGCACGCAGCACGCACAGCTCTCTGCAGCCTCCGCAGGCATGTAGGCTGCAGTGGACTCTGGCGAACCTGTTGCTGCTGTCGGAATCATCTCGACGTAGCAAAAAGTTGCTCTTGTGTAGACGATAGTACGTTTCGACACCTCAGCAGCAGACCACGGACTGTTGTTGCCGAGGCCGCTTCGACCGGCTGGCGGGAAAATGGGTCTGGTAAGTAGCCGCCTACCATAGGTGTCGATAGACCCCTGTACAGACCCCTATGGTTTTTCCATAGCCCCTATTCCGCCTACCTCCCAAATCATGCACGGACCAGATTTCGCGCACGGCTTTCTCGCAGCTAGGGCCAGCTAGGAGCCCCCATCTAAAACAGCCACTAAAGTAGCAGAGCATGCGAATGTAGCGGCGATGGTGTCAATGCACAGTCACAAGCAACTAAGCAACGAGATCAGACGTCATTTCATTCAAAAAAATGTTGGTTCGGCGATTGGAATTTAAGGAAGTAGGGTTTGCCGAAGCAGGGTTCAAAACGGTGTAGCAAATCACACGAATGTAGCGAGCGATGGTGTCAATGCGCACCCACAAGCAACTTAGCAACGAGGTCAAATGTGAATTCGTTCGAACGGTTTGTTCTGCGCAGGGTTCCGAACCCTGATATTCAAACCCCTGAACGGTTCTTCCCCACCCTACTCTTTTGCCCTTGCCAAGCGCAGAACAACCTTTCGAATGAATTGACACATGACCTCGTTGCGCAGCTGCTTGTGAGTGTGCATTGACACTATCGCTCGCTACATTCGCATGTTTTGCTAATGATATATGTTCATCATATATATTAAACACAGCCCCTTAAATGCGCGCCCTCATGTGGCGATTCCGGTTCGCCATTTATGTGAAACACGCCGCCTCGTTATTTCGTGATTCCGGTTCATAATGCCTCTTGAACATGCCCTTTCATTTGGCGGAATCTGGCGATAACGGCTCATCATATATCCGAAACACGCCCCCTCACTGGATGCGGGTTCATCATTAGACATGCCCCCCCCACATTTGGCGGGAACGCTCATATATCTTAAAAAAAAAAAAATGGCAGACCGATTGGCCGACTGTCCGATTGACTGTCTGCCTGGCATTCGGCGCATGGATCAACCGACCGACCGCCCGACTGACTGACAGAACGGCGTGCTCGCGTGGCGACCGACGGACCGACTGCAGAACGAGCCGTTCGTGCGAGTTTTCCTGCGCAGTTGTTTGTGCGTATGCATTCTATTCCTTGCTTCCTGCACTCGCTCTATGAAAGCCACGGCAATATGCGCATAGACCTCTATCATCCTCTATCGCAAAACCATAGGGCCTATGCGCCTTATAGGGGTCTATCCCCCAGCCTATACCCCTATGTATACACGCCTATCCCACCTGTGGTACACCCCTATCCGATTCCCGTAGACCCCGATCGATAGGGGTCTATGGCGTCATGGATAAGCAGGTGGGGGCAGGGGTTTATGCCTTTGAAGATAGACCCCTATCCGGGTAGGGGTCTGTCCGTTTTCGATAGGCGGCTACTTTCCAGATTCTTACTCGCTGGCGGACCAAGCACGCGGTCGCCCGCGTGTGCCGGGAGGGGGGCGGACTAGTCGCGCCGCTTGCGCGGTGGCGTGCAGCCAGGCTCCCGCTGCCCCTTTGCGCCACAGCCCGCCGCGGGTGGGTTCAGCGGCGGTTTGGTTTCTTCGCTGTGGCTGCTATGCGCGCCTACGCTGCGTCTCTGCTTGTGCGGCGATGCTACGGACATGCCGTGGTAATTGACAATAAGTGCAAATCAGTGAAACATTTGCCGCGAGGCTGGTGCAGCGGTTGCCCTCAACGTGCCACTGCGGGACCTGAATGCCACACGTTGTCCGCTAGGATGACCGGTGCATAGAAGTCATTGCCAACGGCTTGCTGCTTCGGGGAGGGGACCAGCTGGCTGTCGACACTGCGCTGGTGTGCCCTCTCACGGTGCCGCGCTGCTCGCTGCAAAACGAGACACGGGGGGTGCATTTAACCCAAGCTGTGCAGGGTTTAATTGTGTGCCCGTAGTCGGTGGCCTGTCCTGTGAGAACGGTGCGTGAGAAAAAACAGTTTGTGTCGATGTCAATGTACACAGTATTGTTCCCGTGCTCCGTAGCTAGGTGGGGTTGTTCATGGCAAATCCTTCTGCGAGAGATGTCTTGCCTACTTGTAGCCCACACATGATTCGTCCAAGACATTCGGACTACGATCCCACATAGATTCATAGGTCGGAAGGTGGTCAGGAGTTGTGAGTCATCTGATGTTCGCGCAGACATAGATTCTTTCCTACAGTATTGTTTCATTCCACGGGCCCAAAAGACCGATGAGATGCATTGAAATGCCTTAAACATGCCATACGCAGCATTCCTTCGCTTGACATGCCTTTGGTGCAGTCCCTTTTTTTTGCAAAATAAATATGGGGATCATGTTATAACATCGTGTGAATGCGGCATCTGTGGCCGCTCGCGCCCACGGGGCGCGGGTCGGCGTGTCTATATACTTCGAGTCCGAAAACCACTAAGCGGCAGCGTCCGCGCCCGCCTGGCTGGAGGTCGTCGTCGCAGTAGGTGCGGAGCGCGCTTATATTCTTGCTGAAGTGTTAGCGGGGCCTCGCATCACTGCGTGCCCGTTGCGCTGGGTGGGGCTTACCAGCGCCGTGTCGACCGCATTTTTGGCATTTCGTCAATTGTCATGCCTCGGCCAAATCGCTTTCGCAAACAGATTGAAGACCCCTATTCTTTGCAAATGGAAAGAAGAAAGTTGGGTTTTATTGGCCTGGGAGGTAGCAATGCACAGTTGGTATGCAGGACGACAATATTCCCAGCCCCGCCTCAAGCAGCCGCGACGTGTCATGGACAGCATGCTGGAAAACTATTGTTGTTTTTTGTGCATGTCGTCACGCGCAAAGGCATTCCATTAGCAGCATAGCCCGGCTGCCCGACAACAACACTTTCGAGCTGCCAAGGTGGCTGATGTCACAATTGCCGTTCCTCAAGCGGTGCGAGGAAAATATCAATTTGATCAAGGTAACAGAACGGCAGCGGGCTTACAACGTCACCTTCGGTGTCGGCGCTGACGAGTTAGCGTGTGCCAACATTTGTTGAGGCATCCTTCGGAATGATGGCCGACAGCTACGAATTGCAGGAGATGGTGAAAGGCAAGGCATGTGATCGTGAACATGTCATATGTGCGAAAATTGCTGCAAAACAAGCATTGGTTTGATACTTGTTCGCTTTGCCAGAATTCTCAACTGGTGGTTCCCGGCGAGAATCCGTGACCGGAGCGAAAATTGGGTTGAAAAAATACGTCGAGGACCGCGAGCATACTTTCAGGTGGAACTGTAGGAGGTGCTCGAGATTTTGTGTTTACCGAGATTCGTGTCAAATTGTCGTCGCAGGAGGAAGACGTCAAGGAAACCATGGTGTCGAAGACTGTGCGTTTGTTCACAGGCGCGTTTGTTTGTTTGTGGTGCTTCGTCCTGGTCTTTACATGGCCTTACCACAGAACTAAACGCGCAGGCCCGGACATCAGCAAAGTTCCAGACGCAGACGACGGTTTGCTTAGCAAGGCAGGCATGAGAGAGGGTTGGGTCTTGTATGCGACACGTTTCTGGACCACTTGTGCTTGCTTGATCGTGAACTTGGACAGCATGCGCAGCCAAATCTAAGGCACGCCGCCTCGCCACTGACTTTGCAGGATGGCGGGATCCTTACGCATGCCATGTATGCAGGGCTAGTTGCATCAGTTTTGATCGGTGACGTGGTTCCACAATCAGGTGGGATTCGTTGAAGGAGCCAGACCGCGATAGTGCTACACACAGAGCACTGGCGCTTGGGCATTGATTAACATACGTCGGCCATTTGATGATATTTGATGCCTTGTCCAAGGATTGTGCGAGCTTCGTAAGCACAAGACAATATCAGCCCAATTTTCACTTGGATTGAAGTTTGGTACCAGTGTTGCTGATGCAAAAACTGGTGCCCGGCTTCGGCATTGTTTTGAAAGTATGCGTTTCCTCAAGGTTTCCTGATGTTTCCTGTTAGGCAATTTTTTTTGCGCTGCATATGCTGCGCCGTTGCACGAGGAATCCAGATGGTTCCGTGTGACGTCTGCAATGGCTGCTGGGTTGCAATGAGCTTTACTCCTGCATTGGCGAGACCATACAAGATGATGCGGGCCTCTCTGATACCTCTGCTGAGATCGGGTGTTTTTGTGTTTGATGGCTTCCCGGCAAGTGAGCCAGACTTCAACAATTTGCATGCGGACGATGGGCATGTGAACCCGGGTATGGAACCTCCGGCACAAGTTGGTGCATGCTTGCGTGCCAACCATCTGTGAGATGTTTCCCGTTTGTTTCTTCACATCTCCGTGTTCTTCTGCTTATGATGTATCAGGTTATTGTCATCAACGCAATCGTCGTGACCTGGTTGACCGACTGGAGCCTTCAACACAGTGGTCGAAGCACCATGGCTGTCCCTGACTTTGATTTTCGAGCATGTTGAATGTGACGGCCATAACCTTCTTAGAGAACATTCACTTGCTAGACGAAGCTATGCATGGACTCAGCATGGACTCATCATGGTTCACCCCTTGTACGCTACTAGTAGCACAACGTTTGCTCGCACTCTTGGTGATTTGGCCAAGATATGCCTCCGGGTTTCGAAGTTGTCGACCTGGCATTCTTGCTTTTCTACGCTTCTTTGCTGCAAATATGTCATGAGGGCTTCCATTAACGACATGTGGCGTGATCTGCGCGTATGTCCACGGAACTAGAACGAGTCGTTGCTGCAGGCGGCGGAGATCGGGATGAAGTTTTATGTGCACAGAGGCACGGGCGCCAGCCTTACGTACTACATGTTACTGTAGAATTCAAGAGCGCCATCTACCATTCATGCGCGCACACCAGAATACGAGACTAGCTACTATAGTGCTTACTAGTTAAAGCGCATGTTTGCATCGGTTTATGCCTGTTTGTGTGTGCACAGACATGTTTGGCGCATGGTGTTGTTTAACCAAGCAATGCAGCCTCTTATTGGGTACATGGTGTATCATGGCGTCATGGGTCGTCGTGGTGTTTTCAACAGCACACGGCGACATACGACGTAATACGCCTTTCCCGTGTTTGTTCGTTGCTCATGCTTCGTTCGTGACTGTCCAGGATATTTCTTCGCCAACGAAAATGCAGCTTGGAACATCTTCGAACCTTGGAACATGACAGCGATGTGAAGTTTATAGTTCTGCACGCGGCACACGTCGGACCCATAATGCCAAAACACCTCAGCCCAGACACGAGATTCTAGCCTCCACACTCCATAGATCAAATCAGTCCCTACGGGTGCTTTTGATTTACGCAGAGCAAAAGCTCGCCCGGAAGTTTGATTGCTAAGGACCTGATATTGGTGATTTTTTCTTCCTTTGATGTCGCTGCCAATTGGCCCTCGAGCTCCGATGACGAAGCCCCTCCGAACAACTTGGGCTACATGAAACTTGGATGCAAGGTGGCAGCGCACCAGTCGACGGAGGAGGGAGAGGAGAGAGGGATTGAGCGCGAGAGCGAGCGAAGAGAGAGAGAGCGAGAGACAGAGCGTGAACAACAGAGAGGGAGAGAGGGGCAAAGCAAGAGTCGGGTTCATATTTGGCCCGATTCTTTGCAAACAGCTACATCAACTGCAGCGAACAGCCAAGGCGTGTTTTTCGCATGTGCGGCGCTCAGAATTGACTTGAAGAGGGCCAGGTCGATTCGGATGACTTACGGAGTTCGACTTTCAAACCCGATGCCCAAGCATTGCAGAAAGAAAGCGGTACCAAGCACGGCAGCAGTACTGTAGCAGCAGCAGAACTAGTAACTAGCACAGTAAGAACATCGACTTCAACAATCAGACTAACGACACCAACGGCACCACCACCACCACCAACAGCAACAATATTCAATAATAATAATAATTATAGCCATGATGTCGACAGCCAGGACAACAATGCGAATCACGACAATCGCGACCACAACCCCTACAACCGCGACGCCGACAACCAGCAACAACACCACCACCATCACCACCACCAGCACCACCACCAGCACCAGCACCACCACCACCACCAACAACAACAACAGCAGCAACAACAACAGCATCTATATTTGCCAGCAGTGGCAGCAGCAACTACTACTATTGCAAGAGCTTTCAGTGAGGGACCAGGACACAAGCTCTACGGCAACAGATCAACAATCACCAACCCTGCGGAACACAGATTGATTCAGTCGTGTCGACAGCACACTGTCCATGTCAGGTTTAGGGGCATGTTTGGCACTTGTCATTGCAGCTACGCGGGATCAGCGGCCATGTTCTTCAGGCGATTGCACAAGTCCTGATGCAAAAAAAGCGGCCATCATCCTCGTAATCGTTGTTATCCTCATCACCATCGTTGCTATCACCATCGTTGCCTTGTTTTGATCACCTCAGCCTCAGTGCTGTAAGTGAGCGTTTGCACGGTCCGTCGCTTTCGCAACCGAGCTTCACAAGGTTGTGTTCCGTGATTTGTTCCCTTCGAGGTTCAAATTCGCAAAGATTCTCCGAACGATCCGAATCATCGCCTTCGTGCGAGAGTTCTTTGGCTTGAATTTCGAATATAGCTGGGCGAAGACACGATTCGAGGCTGAGCAGCTGTTGAGATTAACATTCTTGCACTTTGCCGGAGTGTGAAGCGGCGGAGTGCATGGGGACCAACTGAGTGGACAATATGACCAGAATCGTTACAGCACTTGGAAGGCCGAGGTCACTGAAAAATTTGTCTACGGTCGCTCACCTAATGGGTTCATGTCTCGAAGATGGGTTGGGTGACAATCGAGGCTTTCGATGATGCTGGAGAGCTGCCTGGCGTGAAGCAAACTCTTGTCCTTTTCATTGTGGACCAGCTTAGACAGAACAATGAAAATCAAAATCATGCGTACATCTTTACATTGCTGGATGTAGGTGCGCACGTTTGCGCGAGTCGCATTGGTAGTATAAGAGAGGCATCCCCCCCGGCTTGGGCAGCCGCAGCCACGCAGTTTGAATCAAGAAGCTTGAAATCTTCATAAGCATAACAGATTGATACAGGTTTTTGCAGGTACGGGCACATAAGACTTAAAGGTATGCAGCAGAAGACAGGGATTTCCTAGCATTCCTATGGTGGTTCTGATACGGTCCGGTGTTTTCATAAGTTTCGCCCTGCCAATCCCAAACTCTCCGCGCTTCCAACAGAATATGTTGACGTCTCTATTCCGTTTTTTCCTCCGAAGCCTGTCCCCGAACCTTTGAGCATTCAGGGTTCTGGTTGGATTGAGGAAACAGAGCTTGACAGTATTGCTTGAAGGTACAGACTTGGTTCCTTACACGTATGAATTTCATGGAGGAAGCTCAGATGTACCCAGCGTTGCAGACAACATGTGGGAGCTTCAATAAGTTACAAAGGCGCGGACTTCGATCCGTATTATGACAAGGAACCCTAATTAAGTCGCCCCAAATCAAAGCCCCTAAGTACAGAATTTTTCGGTCCTCATGTCATGAAACCCCATATTTGCAGATGCTCGCATCTATCCAGAGCCTTAGGCTTCCGACAGTGCGTCATTGCTATGTTTTGGGGACTGGTGCTGCTGCTGTTCCTCCTGTACGTGTTCGCTGCTTGGCACAAGATTTTTTGCAAGTCGCCAAAGCATCTACGGCTTTCAAGCCTCAGCAGCGCTTTTCTTAAACCAGACATCAGGCACACCAAACGCCTGCTCCTCCGAAGGCTTTCTTCTGACGCCCCCTCCATCCATACCTGACTCGAAGTACCCGGTCGTCCCATCTATTGTCGGAATATCCACGTGGGTAGTTGTCAAAACTTTTGGCCCCTTTTTGGGTACCCTAACTAGTAGGTGCCGTACTAGAATAAGGACCCGAAAAATATCCATAAAATTGACAACCACCCACGTAGATTCCATTGGGTCTTAGGGTTTCCGACTTAGGGTGGGTACTTAAGTCTTGCAGAGCTTCCCAGCTGATCGGCAGAGTCTGGGTTCAAAATTGTTTCCGACTTAGGGCGAAAGGTTGCGGCAGGGATCTTTGGTGGCGAGGCGGTGGGCTGCACGCTTATAGAGGGCCTAGACGGGGTCTTCAGGCTAGCCCAGCATCACCATCTCAACGTAGGGGCCTCTTAATGTTCCTATATGATTTTGAGGCTTCTGTCTTTCAATTATAGTATACTGTAATGGGCCAAAAAAGCCTATTCTATTTATTAAGGCCCCTATACTTTGCGCATGTCGTTCTTCAAAGTTGTCGTATCCTCCCTCCCCATGCCCACGTTTGCCCTCACAGCTTCGTCCTGTGGCCCATGCTCCTTGTCGTGGTTGCCGATGTCGGCAGCATCCCTCATCAGCCGTCGTCATTATCCATTTCCTGGAGCTCACTAAGCCCACGATTTGCAAAGACAACAGCGCTGCCGAATCCAATGCTCGGCCAATGGGCAAACCATAAACCCCGAGCGAAGTGTTGCCCTCAACATACCCCACAACCTGCGCACGAGAAACTACCTCACCCAATTTCATCCATGAAGCATCCCTGACTGGATGTTCGGAAGAAATGAGGTCGATGCTGCCCTGCCAAACTTGCCTTAGTTTCCAGCTCATTCCTGAATGTCACAGTCACACGCCACACAGGCATTGGTGTTTGCACAGGGCGTCGCGAGTGTGTCGGCCCATGCCCCTTGGATTATCAAGCTTTCAGAGTCGTCTTCCTGACCCTAGACCCAAGCTGCAGAACTACAGTATCTTTTTGATCTTGCTGTCTCCAGCTAGTGGCAGTCCAGCGATGCAGAACCCCGGCTGAACCAATAGGAAGCACTTACAAACCAGTGGCTCCGGCCGAACATGCTGTATTCGCAGTGCTGGATGCGTTAGGTCTTGCAGTTGAACGCAAAGTTTGTTCGACCGAGCTCAGGCAGGTCACAGGAAGGATTGGGGACACATTCCGTGTCAAGCCTTCGCTCGTATGGGGGAGTAGGGCATTGAGCAAGGGTGCGGCTTTCAACTGTGTTCGTGCTACTTTAACAGTAATCCCCTCATCCCAAGCCACGGCCCAGGAAGGTGGAGTTTTACGCGAGGATGTGATGTCTACCTTTGGCTCTGTGGGGGATTCCATGCCTCTCGCTGAAGTTCATGATTTCGGCCTGTGAGTAGTGTGAGTAGAGGTTTTCTGCAGCCTCTTATCGCGTCACTGGACTCATGAGACTGCACAAGAGCCCGTCAAATCAGCTTGCGATTTTTTGAAGTGGTTTCCGTTTGATTTGCTCCCCGTGGCACACCTTTCTGTAGCTTTGCAGTCAGGATCTGTCCTTTTTGCAAGTTGATATGGGCTTCTCGGGGGCTCATACTAATTGAAAGTGCCAGCCTGGCACTGTCGGTGTGGCAGTTCGGGCAAGCTTTTTGGGCAACCGAGACGCTATCTCCAGAATACAGTGTTACAGCTGTGACGAAGCTATATCTGGCGCACTGATATGAAGCGAAGTCTCCCTCCACATGGAGGCGTTTGCTCCAAGTGGCCTGTAGTTGCAAAGCGGTGGCAATAAAATGGGCTAAAAGAGGTTTACGAACAGAGAAATGTGAGTGTTTACGATCTCATGAGAGTCTCGGACCATCCCGAAACCGCAGAGATTAGGTGGATGGAGAAAGCCTGTAAAGCCAGTGAAACCACAAAAGAGGTTCCGAAAATCATTCTCCTTCTTGTAGAGGTGCTGGTCGTTAGGCTCCCGTTGGAGATGCGGGAGTGTCGTTGGCTTTGAGCAGCTCCCAATCCCTAGGGCTCCATATGTACTTAGGCTGAGAGTACCTCTATCGGAACCCCTTTCAGGCCTAAGTATATACTATATGGACACATGGAGCCTTAGGGTATTGTTGCTCGCTCACCAGCAATGTCCGGTATGAAGCACTACCCAGTGCAAAAGCAGGCTGGTGGAGTTTCTGCCGCTACCTCGATGAAAAGCTAAACATTAGAGTATCGAACAGTAGCACCTGCAGAGACGACAGACTGAGTTTACTGCCTTTTAGCTCGCAACGAAAAAAAGGCGAAGTCACTCCAATCGAATGCCCCTGCCATCGAGGCTTTCCTTGTACATGGCGGTGACAGGAGGGAACGACTGGTCCGTCTACTACGAGGCCAGCTTCGGTTGTAGGCGTTAGCGACTTCCGGGATTTGGGCTTTGAAGTAGGGGCTTTCAGGTTTGTTGTCTCCAATGAGACAAGCCGGAGCTGCTTGTTCACGAAAGCCTGTGGGTGGTTATCAAAGTTATGGTCCCCCTTTTTGGGCACCCTAAATAATAGGTGCCGTATTATATCAGGGACCCGAAAAAGGGACCCTAATTTTGAAAACCACACATGTGAAAGCGTTGTCCCACGGAGCTGAGGCCACCATCGCGATGGGCTCCTTCTATCCTGTGGTGTTCCTCTCTTACACCTTCTTCTTCATCTTCGCCTTCCGGCTACAACTTAATGACTTAATGATCAGCTAGGGTTTGGGGGTTGAAGACAAGTGCGATGTTTGTGGATCGTCAGGCAGAGCATTCAGGCAAGCTGCGCTGTGCCCGCAGTTGGAGTGGACATTCTCTGATCCGGCACGAAAGCCCTTTCCTCGCAAATCACTGTGGTACACGGGTGTCAAGACGTCAAGAAGTATTTGCGGCAGCTGTAGTCAGTAGTCCAACTCCAACTCTGGCACACGATGCATGCGATAGATTAGTTGTCCACCTCCCTCTATCCATGCCCATAGGCCCCATAGTAGTTCCTTTCTGGGATGACCATATGCTGTATAGGATTCTACTTATGAACCCCCCAAAAAGAGGTACTATGGGGCCTATCCATCAGCCCTATAAGGCCCTGTTCAACATCCTCACGGGCGTTTTCGTGGAGCGCGCGGTCGCCGCGGCCCTGCCGGACCGAGAAGAGCTGATCGCACAGGAACGGAAGAAGATCCTGTGACTCGGGCAGGAATATATATATATATATATATATACACATATGATATAGGGTTTAGGGTGGGAATATAGGGGGCTTGTATATCAAACGGATTACTCCCGAGAGGTTTCATTATATACTCATGAAAAGATGCCCAGAGACCTTTTTCTCATCATGAATTCAGGCCGATGTCCTAAACCTGTGACTCGGGCCGCTTCTGGCTCCCTAAACCATGTAAACCCTCAACGCTCCGTCCAAGAGTCAGACTCTAGGAGGCAAGACCCTAAACCCCTAAAGTCTAAACCCTGAAGCTCATCATAAATTGAAACTGTTTAGAGGCTATAACCCCCACCAAAGCAATCAACGAATCAACATCAACCGAGCAAAAGCTAAAGGCAAAACCCGCCCCCAAACCGCACGAAACCGGACAAACTCCGGACTTGAATCGAAAAGCATAAAACACATTTCAATGGGGAAAAGACTTTCGAGTGCAAAACCAAAGGCGAAACCCTGTTTAAAAAAACGCGCAAAACCGCCCAAATCTGCGGACCTGAACCCCAAACAATCGGAGCTGGAAGCCGCCCCCAGGAAGCAAGTGGAGGACTTGCGCGCACTCTTCAAGGCTTTGGATTCGGATCGCTCCGGGAAAATCTCCAAAGCAGAGTTCTTGGCGGACATGGAGGATGACCCCTCTCAGCAGACATGCTTCGTAATTCAACGTTTCAGAAGGGTACTAGCGTTACTGTGCCGGCCTTTTTACTGGCTGATTTCAGACGTCTCCCGCCAAGGCAGCGGATGCGGGCCTCAAGCTTTACCGTTCTGTGTCACCCTTTCAGCAGATGCTGGAATGTAATGATGAGCACGGAAGCTCCCCCGAGTTGCACCCACTAACCTTGAATCCACAAACCTGGAATGCTGCAGCCTAGGACAGGATTGTGTCCTACATGCACACACTGGGTCTGGACATGCATGATGCCGAGCATTTCTTCGACCTGCTGGCGAGTGACAGGAACCAGCAGGACACTTCCGGGGTTTTTGCTTGAGCCGATTAGACTCAACGTCGTCTATGCCTCCAAGCACGCAGCGACGAAATATAGAGCCAATGCTGGTCATGCTTGGTCAAAGCATCAGGGTACTTCCCTGAAGTGTTTGGAACAACGGCACACACGCATGCCTCAGGAACCAGTCTCCCGGACTTGATTGGAAACCACTCGGGCTTGGGAGAGTTGTAGGGAGATGCTTCCAGGGCAGAACCTCCAAAGGCCGAGCTTTACCAAGCCTGTGGTACTGCAAATTGGTGGACCCTGTCATGAGACACTTCAGAATTGGGCTGCAGTACCACTAAACTGCAAGCTGTACAGAGGAGGACGTGTTGAATTGCTTGTAGCTGGACGGCTTGGCTGTGGCTTGAGGTACTTGAATCGTTGAGTAAGGCTGTTAGGCGAAAACTTGCTGTTGGTTGCAAGTAAACCCTATGTTGATCAGCTGATGCAAGTGGTAGCCAAGTCTCTGCAGGAAGTTGACATTGACACCTTCATCGAGCACTGCATGAGTATGAAAGGAGCCCTGACCGTGCAGAATCGGGGGTATGCTCTCGGTTTGGAGGTAGCTTTCTCGACTTTGTGTTGTCGATTCCATCTCGGCATCATCTCAGTCCCTTTGGCATGTGACCTTTCTTGATTACAGTTCAATGTCCACGGGGATATTGTGATGACATAGTGCGAGTTCTGGGGGGCCTACCTAATGTCTGTGTGTAGTTACTTTTCGCAACCTGATCAGCTCGTTTGGCACTGTGTACTCTTTGTTTTGCATTTCCTGATTGCTTCTGTTACACTTGAAAGCAAAGTTAAGCTTCGCTGCAGTGAATGATGCTTGCCACGTTACCCCTTTGCGTGTTGTTGACCATTCCATCAGTATCATCATAATGGTATTGAATAAATTACTGAATTATACCTCTTTGCGTTTAGAACATCTGCAGCGACGTCTTGCGTTGAAGCTTTCGTTGTGATTTGCTGCTCTTCGGGAGGCTCTGATGGACAGCCCTAGGCCTCGAAGAACGGGCAAGTCCAACGGAGCCCCGAAGCAACAAAAACGGACCGTGTTGTGGACTGATGCCAAGGAACGGCTACCGCCATGGATCTGCACAAGCAGCTGGTCCAGGTGCAGCATACTAATACAGTACTCTTTGGTCACAGGGCCGTGCGACTGAAGTCCGTGGTTTCCAGAATTCGGACGCGAAGATTACTGTGAAGGATGCGGATTTCCGAACGGTGGTTACAAAACAGTGTTCTCCTCGTACATTTTGAAGACATGCGAGAGACACAATGCTGGGTAAACTGCGCAGCACATGACATGTGTCTGGCTGGCTGGCTTTCCAGACCAGCCCACACTTCTCAGATTGCAAAGCTGACAGTGCGTGTGTAAGAATGTACGCCTCACGAAAACACAGCTTTTGCTGCTGCGTTGCCGTCACCGAATTCAGCATTCCTTCGTCATTAAGAATATTTGTAATGTAAAATGTGACGTCTGGAACAACATGACTCAGCAGAACTGAATATATATATATATATATATATATACACAAACATCATCCACAGCAGGATGTTTGGAGGTGTTCAACGAATCATCGGTTCACCCCACAAAGACATGTCCCATACAAACCTGTTTGTGCTTCGTTACAGGGTGTGCGCTGGGGGTGCGGGGACTGGTATGGCTGACTCGAACGTACGTATACAGAGTACTGTAAGTTACGCAGCTATCTGAGTATAGAGCTACACATTTCCATAATGTGGGAGCTTGTTTAATATCGTGTGCCTAAGTTGTGCGTTTTTGTCCGAGGCTTATTCGAGCCACTACTAAAAAAGGTGGCGTAATTAATAGGTGGGTTGCTCCTGTCTGCTGATGGTCAATCTTAAAAGCATCCACGGGACCCTAAAACCCCCACTAGTACTTAAGCACTTAAGCACCGAAGCTTGCTAAACCCTCCCAGACCCTTCTACTTAAGCCCGCAGACCCAAATCAACCCAAGCCTCCACGAAACCCTCATAATTACTTAAACCTAAGCAAACCACCCCCGAAACCTACAGAGCCAACCCTTTTAAACCCTAGTATATACTTAAGCCCCAAGCCATGAGACCCCCAATTCTTTTCGAACTTAATCAAAGCCACTCAGACCCTGAGCCAGCCCCCAAACACTGGGACCCCCCAATTCCCTTCTAACTTAATCAAAGCCGCCCAGACCCTGACCCCGGTTTGGGGGGTTTACCGACCGTGTCCGGAGGAAATTATTCAAACCATCACATTACTTAGCAAAAACATTTAAAACATGTATACATACCTTGGAACCGAAAAAAACTCAACTATTAACTATTTCCAATATTGTAAAGAGTACACGCTCAGCTTCTTGTTTTTTCTCTAAGGGGGTTGTGCATAGTCGCCTCGCAGCTCCCGCAGAGCGAGAGACGAACAACTTGCTAAGCAACTGTTTAAGTTATCCGGATGATAGAGAAACCTTGTTGAAAGCACATGTGCTTGTATGTAGTTATATATATATAACATAACTATACAGTTATATATATATATATATGCATATGTATACATAATAGTATGGTTATAAGGCAATCTTACTTGTTCGGCCCGAAATGTTGGCCAGGTGAACAAAGTCCTCGACAAGCTGACGGCGTGTGACCCAGATTGGGGTTTCTCAAGGCATTCACGGTTTAGGTTTTAGGGTTTGAGGTTCAAAGTAAGATCCTTGTATTTAGGCTGCATATTGAAGACCCATTGTCTGTGCAACTCCGAGATGCGTGGGGAATCTGTCTTCCTTGTGCTTTACTGCCCCGACAGCAATCAAGCCTCACATCCTGAAGCTTGCCGGGGACGCTTTCATCTTCCTGCCAGAACGACGCAAGTCCTCATATTGTATTCCAAATCCGGGCCCGCAAGCTTAAACCTAGAGGCTGCGCAACCTCAAAGATGCCTGAAAGCTTTGGCCTTTCTCACCCCTTTGTCCTAGCCAAATTTAAGAAATCCTTCATACTATCCTTAAAAGGATTCTCGAAGAAACCCTTACGCTTAAAGGAAGCAGGAGGGAAAACAGCGACCCTACATATGGGAGTTTCCGAAAATTAGGGTAACCTTATTTTGGGGTCCCGATAATAAGGATCCTACTATTTAGGGTACTATATTAGGGTCCCCTATTTTCGGAAACTCCCATATTAGGAAAAGAGCCTCAGCAATCGAGAACCAGGCCTGGGAGCTCTCCAACTGGCCTGCGCTCTTTGCGACATTGCAGGCATGCCTTGGAGTTCTTAAAATAGGGTCAGAATGTTTAGTAGCAAGGTCCTCTTATTCCCCAATGTGATGATCGTATTAATCATACTTTAGTGTAGTATACTGCAAACCGTATTCTGAATCATCACGGCCCCTATGTTGCCTTCGGGTTCGATCGGAACTTCTACACGGGCTTTGCGAATTCAAGGTTCGGGCTGTTATTGCGCTGGCTTGGGGGCGAATGGCAGAGAAGCTTTGAGCAAGAGTGTATCCACTCAAAGGCTTTCTCCAGATGAAGCCCGGCGATGTAATTCAATCGGCGTCCAGCCTGTAAATCCCACACCCTAAACCGGAACCCGAGCGCTACTTGTGGCAGTCCTGCCGGGACTCAGCGGGTTTTACCGGACGGTTGTTCTTGGAGCTCCAGGGCAGTCAGTTTAGGATAGTTGAGGGTTTAAGATTTTAGCCAGAGGGCTTTCGGAGTTTAGAGCTGACGTGTTCGGGTTTTATCGCTTCGTTGTTTTTGCTTTAGCTTAGGACCCTCGCAACTCGGCAATTCTGGCCATGGTTAGGGGTGTAGTTTTTGCTTTTTTGTTGGGGGGGTGGTCGGTATAGGGTTTGGGGAATGAGGCACTGTCTTGCCGAAAACGGGGCTGGCCCGACAAGCGTTTAATGTCTTTGCATCCAACAGTGACCTTTGCCTGAGATGCATACGGACTTGCAGTACTGTACCTCACCAAAAACGCCCCCGAAGCCTTGGATGAGCTTCGTAAAGACCCTGAACCCTAAACTATGGTAGATCCTGGACGTCAGCAAGCTAGCAGACGGAAAACGGCGCTCAACAACAAAAAACCTAAACCCTAAGACTACCCGCATTCCGAAATCGACAGAAGTGTAACTCCTATACAAAAAGCCCAGTCAAGGAGCAAGGAGAGCCGAGGAGGTGATGCTTTGACTTTGGTGATCGATTTCAGCTGCGGGGCCAGCTCCTTTTTAGGGTTTCGGGTTGGGGCTTCCAGGGTTCAGGGATTCATTAACATAGAGGCCATAGCAATTACCTATACCATTGTGGGGGTTCCTTATTGTAATTACGGTATAACATAGCCCGAAAACAAGCACTGTTCTAATCATTAAGGCCCCTCTATTCGAGCTTTCGGAGGCTTCGGGCTTCTACCCCTGGTGTGGGATCCGCGTGTGCGTAGTACTGAAATCTCACCCTGGGCATCAAAATAGCCCAAAAGCCTTACACAGTGTGGGCTTTGGGCCCAAAAGCCTTGATATATGAGTCCTTAGATGCCTAGGGTCACTCTTCACCCGAGAGGGACTGGCCCCGCAGTCTGGGATTCCTTGTGCCGCGGCGTGGAATTGAATTGGCACACCCGCGGCGGAGTCTGTTGTGAGTTTCGCAAGAGTATGCGATTTCGGTTCCGTAGTCGCAGATATAGGGGCTACCACTTCCTGCGCCTAACGAGTGCTTGTCACGGCCGCCAGAGATCCGAGACGAGGCTTTTTCCCACTTCATGTACTGGTCTTCGAGGCAGAGGGTTTGGCTTTTGTTGGTTTTTTTACTGGGAAAGAAAGCACCCCAAGTTCTGGCACTACGTCGTTCAACGGCATGACTGTCATCTGCACAGGCCGAGAGCATTCTTAGAAATGATAGTCTTATGTTGCCTAGCCCATTATAGCAGAAACCGGCATGCATGTCGAATGCTGGAATTTGGTCTGGCTGGAACCGCATATGTCTAACTTGTGACATGACTCCACCTGAACCTGGGAAAGAAGTTTTCTTGCAGCAAAGAGTCTTCAAGGGCCCTTGCTCTCGAGCAGAAAGTTGCTCCACACCGCGTCCAATGCAGCGAGCTTGCCAACAGGACGATCAATTAGGTCCCAGGTCTTCATGGTATTTGGACCAACGTTTGCCAAGGGATTGGTATCGAGTCATTGGCAAGCTTCGTGGTATTCGACGGACCATGTTTCTGATACCAGTGCCAAGTGCACGCAACACCCTGTCACCGAAAAAAACCCGTTGCTTGCGAGAAGTCAATGCCGAACCCCCGGTCAACTGTCGATGCTGGAGCTTGACGATGAGTGGATGTGGGTTAGGCATAGACCACTCGTCATATTGCATGCAGAACCACATCCTGTCTAAGATGCCATGACCCAGAATTATTCAATCTCCGTGCGCGATGCTGGGAATGCCATGCCTTTGTGCACTCCTGTGTAAGTAACCCGCATAATCTGACTATGAGAGACAAGGATAGTCCATCATGGGCTTCATGTTTCGAGGCGAGGATTCCCTTGTTCGATCGGGTATGCCCAAAACCTTTCAGAGAAACATGTTCCGGCCACACACAGGCTGCCAGACGCGAGTTTTTCGCGTTTCACTCTATATAGGCGTTGACCACCTCCCAGTCAAGCTGACAGGTGGAGACCAATGGTTTCAAGCCATGAAAGAAAAAGAAGGGCAAATCGAGCGATTTTCCTCCGACTGTGGAACCAGATGTGTGCCGATGCCGGTTATACTCACGCATCATGGGCGTTTCGCATGTGTGTTTATGTACACTCCTTTTTAGGTTATCACATAGCGTCGCCATGGAATGCGCAAGGCCACCCTAAGTCCAGCCTTTCGACTCAAAGTATCTTCGCTGCAGCTGCGGGTTCCACTACGCAAGCGCCTACTTGTAGGGCCTAAGAGAAACACGGGACAGCAACTCAGCCAATGTGGACAAGCCTTCATGACTGTGTGGACCTCCATCCGCTACTATGTCGGCGGCCTTGAACCCAACTTCCGAGGTGAGCCTAGCCCAAGGGCGAGGAACTGAAAGTCACTGATCACAATGTTCAGCCATGCTCCGCCGGCTTATTACCTAACTACTGAAGAGGCTACACAACAACTATAGGTATTGGTGCTCGAAGGTCAGGAGGTGCAGGTCATGTTGCGCCTTTCTCGCGCGCTTCGTGCACAGCACCTGAGCTGATTTAAGCCTGCTTGTCCGGACACCCCCTATGTGGAGGGAGGAGTGACACTGTCATGCTTCTAGCGTGACCTAATGTATCAAAGACCTGTAAGCATGTAGCTTGTTGCCATTCCTGCTGCCCCGTGCTATTGACGTGCAGTGACCGTCTATGAAGAGGCAACAGCGGTGGCCGTACCAGGGGTCATGTATCCAGAGAATAAGACCACACATGAACGAATAGCCTTGACTGTGTTTTTTGCGTTTGTTTTGGCGATTGACGGTTCTCTCACGCTTCCTATTGCTACTAATCGTGTATTTCTTGCACCTTTGCTTGTGCCTGGCATGTTCCAGTTGTACTGCACTGCCCTGCGCCCACGACACGGCTGGACGACGGCAGTAGCAGCAGCATCCCAGCACCGCCGCCGTCACAACCACCATGACCACCATCTGGAATGTTGCTGTCGACATTGCTTCTGCTGGACTACTACGGCTGACGATATAAATCCTGCATTTCCTATAGAAAGGTCCTTAAGGTAATGCAGGATTCATATCATCAAACGTAGCCCAGGCATTGCCCCTATGCCATCCTGGGAGTTGCTCAAAACGCCAGCACCGAAGACATCAAGCGTGCCTTGGTTGTGGGGTCTACGGGATGTGCTCCAATGGGCCGTAATGCCTCAAGCTCGTACGGCTGCTATGCGCAGCTTGAAAGGTCGGGAGTCTCAGTATGTTACCATGTTCTGTCGGATCAGAACCTCACCGCCTCAAGGTTTCCTGAGATTCGAAAGACCCCTGATGCCTCGTTGTGCCTGTCTCAAGTCCAGTCGCTCCATTTGTGATTCAATTCGGTCTTGTGTTGGCTAGAGTAGGCGAACCTTGTCCCTGGCTGCACGACCTTGCAGATGGCCTCAGCGTAGACAGAGCAAGTGGTAAAGATGAGGTTGTGGACGAGCCTCTTGATCATGGCTTTGTCATTGTGCAGAATATCATAACGCCCACCAATGGGATATTTCGCACACCGCCCTGGAATGAGTGTGGGACACACCTGGAATTCTAATGCTGATCTGTGTTTCGAAGATTGCTTCCAGTGTCCAGAATGGCGTTCCATTTCAGAATGCTGAGCATGAAGCCTGGTCAGCACACGCCCGCTGGGAAAGCAAATCTGCGAATGTCTTGGATGCACAACACATCTTTGCCGCAGCAGATCGTGGAACCAGACATATTTCCGAACCGACTGACCGCTCGATCATCCCACACGAACTTCGTTCATGTGTATTTCGCTCCGTGCAAACATGTGTGGGCACGTTGATGATGGACTTCCATTTGCAAAATGTCATTGTCTGTACGTCCCAGCTAGCGTAGCACCGTCAGGGCAGCAGTGGCGGGCGGAAGCCCCTGGAAAAAGAGTGGATCTTCAGGTCGTGACCGTCCGGTTTGCACACTGATGGCGGGGTCTGTGGGGTTTCTGTGCAGACTGCATTGCAGACTTTCGTCTAAGCCCGTCCCTGGGCCCTTCGCCTTGAGATACTTTGCTATCGAATAGAACAGTGCTGGAACTTGCAATTTCCCATCACCCGACAGCCAGGGCACGCTGCTCTTCACAGTTCGAGAAGCGACCCAGACTCTGCACCCTGTTTAAACTACGACGGAATGGGAGTTCCAGAAATTAGGAAACCTACTGTACAACCTGCAATGACCGACTCTGCGCTACAAGGACCCAGAATCATGTACCCGTGCGGTACGTGTTGAGCCTGGATTTGACGAGTTGTGAGTCTCAAGCTATTCAGAAACCCGATATGGGAGTTTCCGACAATTAGGGGCACCTTATTTTGGGGCCCTTAACCTATAATAAGGATCCTACTATTTAGGGTGCGATATCAAGGGTCCCCCTATTGTCGGAAACTCCCATATCTTATTGGAGCCCCACCTCCCAAACCGTCGTGGCAACCTTAGGTGCCTTCCAGGAGAGGGCCAAAATCACGCATCCGGATGTCGTGAAGGGCAGGGACAAGCATTTTCGGGACATGGTCCGTGACCCAGCGTTTAGGGTTTGTAGGGTTTAGCAGGTAGTTAGTTGAAGAGCTTCGTTCAAGACTCGACCCCGAACCTGAAGCCTGAAACTCTGTCTATCCAGAGCCGCTTAGCTAGCCCGTTGGATAGAGCCCATGGCCACCAGGGGTGATGCTTACTGCCGGCACTGGACTCTACTCGTGTGAGAGCTGAAACAAGAACAAGACGTGAACGGTTTCAGGCTGCTGAAGGGACTGGGACTGTCCTCTTGACGGCGCTGTGTCCACGAGTCCCCATTATGAGCCTATCCGGGTCTGGGCGACTCCCCGTACGTAAGCGATCACATAGGGCCAATACTAATACTACCGTAGCTTCGCCAAAAGAGTCAGCAACTACTGTACGTTGCTATCAGCTTGCCTCCTAACATGGACTGGGTCATACGGAGCCGGATGGTATTACAAGCAGTGTATCGTGAAGTAAAACACTAAACCAACAGGTTTATGTTGGTTTAATCAGAGTTACAAAATTACTGATGTTGCAAGGCTAAGATAAACACCAACATGAAGAAACTCAGCCCATCATAGTAACCCTTTATACTAACGGCAACCCCTTTATCGTAGACCTTCGAGTGCTCAGCGCAGTCGTCCTGTTAAGGTCGATGCTTATCGGATTCTCAGAGACCCCCGGAAGCGTGCAGAGAATCTTGGCTAAAACATGATGAATAAAGAGGTCTGGGTAAGTATGAGGGGAATTCCCCTTGCCTTACTGAATATAGAAATAGTGACGGCTCGCATTCCCATAGTATTGGCTTTGTCATGGCCCTCCCCAAACATCCCCAAACCCTATTCTAGTTATTAAGGCTCGTGAAGGGCTCTCGTAGTTTAGCTTCGACTTTATCACGGTCCTTTTTGGTCCGGATTTGGGTTGCAGGTACTTTGATGGTTGCTTCTAAAAGTTTCCTTTGAGCCCTTATTCCGTTC